TTTTTGAGACATGACCTCTCATTGAATCTAGAGTTTGCTAGCCAAAAGTTCTCTCTCTGTGTGTCCCTTCCTTATGCCTATAACCCTGGGGTTATAGATACCCACTGTCTCATCTGCTCTGGAAAAGCCAGCTTTCATGTGGGTGCTAGGCATCTGAGGTCATGTCCTCATGCTTATGCCTGGCTGCAGCTATTTTTCTTAAATAAAATTTTAAACTTACAGTAAAGTTAAAGGAATAGTACAAAGAATTCTTTTTTATCTGGAACTGAAAGTTTCTATTACTGTGAGAAGACACCATGACCATGGCAACTCTTATAAAGGAAAACATTTAATTGGAGTTGTTTTACAGTTCAGAGGTTTAGTCCATTGTCATCATGGCAGGAAGTATGGCAACATGCAGGCAGACACGGTGCTGGAGAAGGAGCCTAGTGTTCTCTATCTGGATTGGCAGGCAGCAGAAAGAGAGAGTGAGCCACTGGGTCTGACTTGAGCTTCTGTCACAACAAATCTCACCACCCAGTGACACAGTTCCTCCAACAAGACCACACTACTACACAAGGCCATACCTCCAATAATGCCATTCCCTGTAAGCCTGTGGGGGCTGTTTTCATTCAGACCACCACAAACCAGGTCACTGTAACATTATATTTTGCTGATTGAAACTGAGGCCTTAATTTTCCTATAGCTTGAACACTGTAGTGTTAAAGGTTATTTTTAAATACCTCCTTTAGGTTTTATTTTTCATTGGAAAATCTAAAACCATGCAGTATATTATTTTTCTTGGGAAAGAACTATGAGGTTTAAAGATACATGAATATTTAAGTAGATGGCACGTGCTTGTAGTACCAGCATCTGGGATGCTAAAGCAGGAGAGTTGTGTTGCAGAACCAAAACCCAAACACATCCCTACACCATATGTACCATGTTGTGTTGCAGACTCTATTCTTCATCAGCTCTTCATTGTCCGATTCCTTGGTTCTATGGAGGTAAAGTCAGACGACCATCCAGACGTTGTCTACGAAACAATGCGCCAGATCCTAGCTGCTCGGGCCATTCATAACATCTTCCGTATGACAGAATCACATCTGTTAGTCACCTGTGACTGTTTGAAGTAAGTAGTAACCTCTGCAAAATAAACCTTACAGGAAAAATAATTTTTTAATTCAGCCTAATTAAAAAGTTGTTTTCCAAATTCTTAATTATTTATTGTAGGTTAATTGATCCGCAGACCCAAGTTACAAGGCTCACAGTGAGTTCTGTGTGATTCAAGCTTTAAGTATCTTTTGTTTACATATTAATTTTATAGTTTGATAATAATCTGTGCCCTAGTATGACAGTATCAATTAAGATTGATCTTTAGGCTATAGTTATAGTGCCAGCTCCACAAAATTATTGTAACTTAAAGATTCAACACATTTTGGTGCAATTAATAGTTTTTATCCCTAGAGAGTTTATATGCCAAGGAAATTAGCAGTAGGAATCAAAACATAAACATAATTGAGTTTATTCTATAATTCTATATTTCTTTATAGGTGCAAGTGTATGTTTTTGTTTAATTATTTACTAAGTAGGTTATTTTTGTAGTTAAATTTGTATTGATAAATATGTTATTAAATAAGACTTAGTATTTAATATTTTTTGGTAATATCCAACCCAAATATGGTATTATTTGTTACTAGATTATTATTCAATTGAAAATTTGTCTTTAAGATTCTATTTACAATATTTTTAGAATTTAGCATGAGAGTTTATCATCTGAATGCTGCTGTAATGATTTGGAAGATCTCATATTTATTTATGGTGTTTCTGTGGCAGTTTCCATTACCGTGTGTAGTTTTATATGCTACACACCAAGAAAATAAACGACTTTTTGGATTTGTTCTCCGGACATCAGGCGGAAGAAGTGAAAGTAGTTTGTCATCAGTCTGCTATATATTTGAATCAAACAACGAGGGGGAAAAGGTACCTGGCTTTCAGAATGTTTGTTTTATAAAATACCTATCAGAGTCACACTTTTAAACTAAAGTTTTGGAAAAAGCTCTCAGGGTATGCCTAGTCCAGCTGAGCTGCTTGATGAAAGCCCGCTGCTCTGGAGAGAGCCACCATGATGAGTGGAGCCTGTCGGGTTCTGTAAGCTGTTGATAGCTGGTTCCGTTAACTTATCCTGGAAATATAATACATTCCCATAGTCATTTTTAGGTGTTACTAATTTATGTCAGTATCACCACCCAAAAAATTCATGTTTGCACGGCTTACTAGTCCAGTAATGATGTTGTAAAGTTTTTTTGTGTTTTTGATAACTTCATACATGAGTGCTGTGTTTATCTCATTTCCCCTCCTCCCTCTCCTCTTTCCAACTCCTCCTTTATCTGTCCTCCTTGAAAATCCATGACTTTTATTATTATTATTATTGGTGTATGTATGTGTGTATAAACCTTACTGAGTCCATTTAGTGTTGCTTTTATATGCATGTGTTTAGGGCTGATGACTTAGAATTGGATAACCTGTTGGGGCTTGTCCCTGGATAAAACAGATTCTTCCATTCTCAGCAACCATTGGTTGCCTGTAGCTCTTCATCTAGGGATAGGGACTGTCTATTTCCAGGTCTTGTTTAGGTAACCATATTGTTGAGATTTTATGGATACATCTTCCCTGTCATGTCTAGGAGACACTATTTTGCAACAGATGTCCTGGTCTTCAGGCTCTTACAGTCTTTCCACTCTCTCACATGATCTCCTGTAGCCTGAGGCATAAGGTTGTGCTGTAGATGAGTTGATGGGGCCTGAGCACCCTGCAGTCACTTATTGTCCGCACTTTGACCAGTTGTAGATCTCTGTAATCGTCTCCATCAGTAGTGAGTTGATATAATGAGAGGTAGGACGGGCACACGATTGAGGGAAAAGCCAGCAGTAGAAGTTTCTTCAGAAGATTCTAAAGAAAACATGCTGAATTTTTTTTTGGCTGAAATATTTTTACATAATTCTTATTTAAATTAGTATGTTATCTTGCATTATTTTAAAACTAGTGATGTCATCCATTTGGGCATTTAAAAATTATAGTGTAATAGAAAAGTATCTGAGGTCTTTCTTTTTCCTCCTTTTAGATTTGTGATTCTGTTGGATTGGCAAAACAGATAGCACTGCACGCTGAACTGGTAAGAGTCAGAACCACTTAAATTTCCAAGGGTGTCTAAGCTAAAGCAGGGTAATAAAAACTCTTTCACACAAGCAAATAAAATTGTTTTGCTAAACAAGATTAACAGTGGTTGCTATTGCTCATATAGCATTTAGAATCTGGAGGCAGGTGGTGGTTGTGCACACCTTTATTCCCAGTACTTGGGAAGCAGAAGCAGGCAGATCTCTGTGAGTTCAAGGCCAGCCTGGTCTACAGAGTGAGTTCCAGGACAGCCAGGGCTACACAGAGAAACCCTGTCTGGAAAAACTATTGGTGTGCCTTATATAAAAGTACTGAAAAGTTACAAAGGTTATATTAATTGAAACATAAAATTTAAAGTTGCTTCCTATTTAACATGTTTATTTTATTTCCCACCCCTTTTAGGATCGTAGAGCATCAGAAAAGCAAAAAGAAATAGAGAGAGTAAAAGAAAAACAACAGAAAGAGCTCAGCAAACAAAAACAGATTGAGAAGGTATTCCTTTATGTGAGATTGATGACTAATTCAGCACTGTGACTCTCAGACAGTTTCCAAATGGAAGTCCGTTTCTACCTCATAGCCGGATGATTCATTGCCTAGTAGGAAAGGGGGACCTGAATTGCATAGTAGCTGCCATGAAATAGAACATAACTTTCTGTTAAAGAAACATGCCAGAATTTTGGTATATCAATAATAGACATAATTGTCTTGCTGAAAGCCACAATGACTGTGAAAGGGAAAATACTTATATTAAGCATCAGTAGGAGTGTCATATTCACATATGTACACACACACACAAGCATACATACAAACATGCATGCGCACTGCATTTAGCACAGGTTGGTCCTGGAAACCAGACTGGGGTAACAAGGGAGTGAGGAAAGGACTGACATGTGCACAGAAGAGCTGGGATGAGGAACTCTTCCTGATGGAGTGGTGCCTCCTACTGCACAGCAGCCCCAGAACCCAGAGTTTCTTATGAACGGTTCTTACAGAAGGGTGAGCAGGTGAGCAGTCTGTAGGGCTCTATAGGGAGCAGTCTCAGGTTGGAGTCATTCCTGAGGTTGGAGGAGGGATGAGGAAGCTGTTTTTCACACACCGTCAACACAGACGAGAAGGTAGCTTTGCCATGGGTTTCAGACACTGTAGTCCTTGACGAGCTGTGCTCATGTCAGTAATAGGCATTCACTCAGAGCTTCCTCCATTTTCCCTACAGCAACCCTACATTTGTGTGTGTGTGTGTGTGTGTGTGTGTGTGTGTGTGTGTGTGGTACTAATGATTAAACCTACAAAAGGGTAATTTAAAGTACACAATTTTCAGAACCAAAACTTGATTAGGTGATTCTATTAAGGGTGGTGGCATTGATGGTAGAAAAACAAGAGAGAAAGTAACTAGGGCATAACATATGTGAAGAGACCAGTAAGAACTAGAAGTGAGTTGGATAGATAGGTAAGATCTGAGAAAAGAAAATGACAAAGACAGCACAGAAGGACAGCTTAACTGGAGAGGAGCAGGGAATGGGGTGTGGGGGACAGTTTTACTCTCCGACTGTACTGAGATATGAGGATGTTCAGTACTTGATTATTAACTTTAGAACAAGAAAGGGAGGATAAAATAACACACTTTTTTTGCATGTTTGTTTTTATGGTATTATTCATATGATAAATGAATAATTTATCAAAGTTCACCCTGGTGTCTCATTTGCTGAAAATACTTAGCCTTTCTTTTAATCAGATTACCAGAATTAAGCATGTGACAGGATTGGAGTGGCTCTCAAGTATAGTAGAAGTACATAGAAAACTAAGTCAGAACACCGTGCAGTTTTCCATTTGACTGCTGACAGTTAACTTAGTTTCTTTTTTATCTTTCCACCAGGACTTGGAGGAGCAGAGTCGGTTGATAGCGGCTTCCAGTAGACCAAACCAGACTGGTAGTGAGGGCCAGGTTGTTGTCCTTAGCAGTAGCCAATCAGAAGACAGTGATTTGGGAGAAGAAGGGAAAAAAAGAGAATCAGAAGCATAATTTTTTGCTTTTTGATTGATTTTCCCCTTCCCCTGGAATGTGGCACAAGGTAACCGTGTTAAAAGATCAAGGAGACTAAGCTTTATATTTGCTGTTTCAGCATCACTTAAGAAAGACTAAGCATGATAACAAGTTATATTGAGCATATCCTTAAAAAATAAAATACTATGCATTATCATCAAATTCTGCTTACCTAAATAAGACCTGCTTACTTTCCTGTAGTAGATTGCTGAGAAATCATACTTGTTCAAGACATTTTACTTTGTGAACGCTTTTTATTTTGCAGTGTAATTGGCTGTCTTCATAAGAAATCATTTATTCTTCAGATTCTGACATTGGTGTGTGTGCTCTCTCCCTTTAGGAATGTCTTGTTGGTAGTGAGGGAGTGTTCAACCAAATGAGCTTAAAATCCTTTCTGTTGAGAATTCTACAAGTTTGCTAATATTCTAACAATATTAAGTGTGCAGTAGGATTTGTATAAAATCACTAGGACAGTGGCAGATGGTGCTCTTGATTTCAGGGCATTTTCTGGACTTGCTCCATGTCTCTGATGTACTGTAACATGGCATAGGAAAGAGACTCAAGTGTCTTTGCTGGTGTTTGATGCAGTCCTTGGTATTTTGTCACCGTCTTCTCAGTTCTCAGGTTGGGACTTTACTTATTGCTGCAGAGCAGTGAGGGTTAGAATTTATTGAAAGATTTTTGTTGTTGTTCAGACATTTTATATTAGAGTTGACATGTAAAGGGAGTGTTATAGAGTGATACATTGTATTTTCTGTATTGTGAAATTTTTTATTGATAATAAGTGACATTTCAAAAGATGTAGAATAAAAAATGTGCAGTTTGGTTTAGAGAACATAATCTTTTAAATTTCAGACTGATAATCCCTGTATTTTCATAATCCCACATTTTGATAATGAATTGAATAGCCACTTTATATCCACAAAGGCAAATAATTTATGAGTGTAGAATAATTTGTACTAATTATTGTAAATACTTTTACTTTTCAAATGAGCAAAAGATCTAATTCCATGAAAGACTGAAAAGGAATTGAACACCTCATATAGTATAGGACCAAGGAAGGAGTTAGCTTGCTACCAAGGTTGACATGTCCCTCAGTTCATCTTCTGTCAAACCTTTCCTCACTCAGATTTTAATCTTTGTTTATAGATTTTATTTTCATGTGTTTTACATGAAAAAGTGTATATATATATGTATGTGTACAGGTTAAATATATTGAGTATTCTACATAGTCATGCATTTATAGATTTTCAAGAGGTTAACCTCTCATTTCACAAGTAATTTTCTCTTAGTTCTGAATTGAATATAGCTCAGTTTCACACTCTGTAAGTACAGTTTTCTGTAGTCATGAGATAACTATATATATATTTGATCATGATACTGTTTTTAATTCATGTGCCAAATGGGACTAGTGCTTACTTAATACTCTTTAAACTTTTATGTTACCCAAATATACAGTTAATAAGTAGCACTTTATGGAGCCCATTTGGTTAGAAGTCTGTTTTGTACTTTCTAAAGGGAATGCTTTCACTTTAGTGTTTCCTTCCTGTTAAAACTAGACATTGCTGTGCTCAGTACTTGATTACTTGTGGCAAGTCTTGCTTTAAAGATTTTTTTTGGGGGAGGGGGTTTCGAGACAGGGTTTCTCTGTAGCTTTGGAACCTGTCCTGGAACTAGCTCTTGTAGACCAGGCTGGCCTTGAACTCACAGAGATCTGCCCGCCTCTGTCTCCCAAGTGCTGGGATTAAAGCCACCACCGCCTGGCTGCTTTTAAGATTTTTGAGATTGGTAAGGTTTCTGACTTATTGTTGGTTTTGTTTTGTTTTTGTTGTCTGTTTGATTTTAGCAGTGCTGGGGATCAGACCCAGGCTCTCATATATGCTAAGTAAGCCCTCCACACTGAGCTGCATCCCAACCCAAGTTTTCAGTTTCATGAAGTGTTTTCTTGATATAAGATGTCCTGCGTACTGCAGGGGAAATCTGTTTTACAGTTAGAGTGGTCACCGTCAGGAGACAGCTTTAATTTCTGCTGCTATGTACGGCAGCAAAATGCTGTGATTTGGATAAATATTCAGGCTAGGGGTGAGAGTTTTCTAATTCTTTTTAAGTCACGTTTCATAGGAATTCCCACAGTTGCTATCGCGTCCACAGGTCAGACCAGAATGTGTTCTGATGCCCAGGACATGTCCTGAGTGGACTGAACATTTTCGATGACCCAGCATCTGTTCTGCTGCTGTTAAACTGTAGGGATTTTGCACAACAGCTTTAGTCAGCTCTCCTGCTTGAAGAAAGCTGCCTGTGAGCTTCTTCTACATGTCAATGCTGATCTTGTTCTATTGTACTGTCCTCTAAAATCTCTCCCAGCTTCTTAGAAATTAACAAAATTTCTTTAAAAAGGAAGAGAAATTTAGCCTACCTAATTCTACTGTGCATTCTGTTACCTATATTGACAGTACTTAATAACTGTGTAATAAACTCAATAGAAAATCACTTCCTTCTGTATCCTTGCTAGAGACTTGCTGTGAACTTGCTAGAGACTGAAATTGTACCTTGAACAGAGTCCCTGAATCTCTGAAGCTATTCTTGTTTTTGTTATGTATTTAAAGACTACTTGGTGTTTAATTTCAAAAAAGAATTCCTAGCTCCACAGTGTTGGAATGAGGAAGTAGCCATTATTTCTGAGAAAAGAATAGTAGGATGTACATAACATTGTAGGCAACATGGTTCCGTGTGGTGAACGCTTACAAACTACTACAGGAACCATGCTATTTACAGTTGGAACTGACCGTGCTGGCAGATCCTGAAAACTACCATATTACAGAATCTTCTGGCACCTGAATGAAATGAACATATTAATTTGCTTTTGTTAACAAGTCTGAGCATTTGTAGTAAGCAAACTTTTAATCTTGTTTTTAGCAAGTTTAATTTATATCTCTATAATGAGATTTTTATTCTACATTAATAACAAAGATTTGAAACTAGAACCATGGTGAACTTTTAACCAACCTCTAGCTACACTTGTAAGTAACTGACTTCAATTAATATGGATATTGAGGACTAAATGATAATTAATGTGCAAGACTGCTTTGTATATTTTGTGATTTTTGTAATGTAAGTAAATTGATGAACTCTTATTTCACTGATGATATTAACCAACTGTGCAGTGTACATATAATTGAAAATCATGCAGCATCTCTCTTTAAAATTGGATTTGTGATCATGGTATAGCTTGTGGGGCAGAGAACTTATTTTTTCATTTGTCAAAATAGGTATTTGCTGACAGGGCTTCAAGAAGTATGTTGTTGGGTTTTTTAAATGTATAATAAAGTCCATGATTTTTTTTTTATAAAGACTTTATGTATGAAATATTTGCTAGTTACTCTGAATTTTATTTCCCTGCGTACTTTCAGATGTTTTCAGGCTGGGGCTGGAGAGATAGGTTAGCAGTCAAGAGCACATATTCCTCTCCAGGGCTTGAGTTTAGTTCCCAGCGGCCACAGCAGATGGCTCACAGTTGCCTGCAATTTCAGCTTCCATGGATCTGATACCTTCCTTCTAACATCAATGGGCATTGTACTCACATGCACCCCCCTCCCCCACATCCCCACATTACATATATATTCTCTGTAAAAAGACTACAAAAGTCACGGCCAGGTATGGTTGTGAATACTTGTGATCTTACCTTCTGAGAGGCAGATGCAGGTGGATCTCTGTGAGTTCCAAGCCAGCAGAGGTACTTAACTGAGAAAAGACAATCCTCAGTGTCTGCTATTTTGAGCACAAAGAAGTTGCATTCATACACTTATTATAAGATCAATACACAGTTTTAGAACTGGGTATATTTCAGTTACTTGAAATTTGTACTAGTTTCTAAGGCAATCCTAGTAGGCTATGATGGCTTTGAATTCGAGGTCCTCCCCTCTACCCCTGAGTAGTTTGGATTATAGGCATGTGCTACTGCATTTGGATGAGTTTTTTTTTTTTATTTCTAATTACCTTACAATTCTAGCCATGTGTTGAGAAAAGATGTTCAAATTCTTTGTGTGTTTTGGTTTGTTTTTTGTTGTTTTCCTGAGACAGTCTCCTGTAGCCAAAGCATCCTTGAATTTACCATGTAGCTGTGGATGACCCTGAATTCTTGATCCTCTGCCTCTATCTCCCAAGAGCTGGGATTACAGACATATACCACCATGCCTGATTTCAGAGCTACTTTAAAATTTATCTTTGCCAATTTCACATATGTATATATTTTAATTATATTTACCCCCCCCCCCATCACCACCTCTTATCCCCCTTCCATTCCTGCTGAGCCTCCTTTTCCTCTTAATAAGTTCCCCTCATGCAAGTATGAAGACAGGTCAGTACAAACGTAACAAGTAAATAACCTACTGGAGTTTGAGCCACTTCCCAGGGTTACACCACCGAGGAAAGTGACTCTCCTTTCCCTCAGCAGCTGTTAGTTACCAGTAGCTCCTTGAGAGCCCTCCTGATCCATGCTGGGTTTATTTATTTGTTTGCTTTATTCATTTAGAGAGAGAAGTGTGTGTGTGTGTGTGTGTGTGTGTGTGTGTGTGTAGATCAGAGTACAACTTGCTGGAGTTGATTTTCTCCTACCACTGGACTCTGGGGGTCAGATTCTGGCCATCAGGCTAATGTGGGGAGGAGCACTTTTCCCCTCTGGCACCACAATGGAACGCTGGTGTGCTCCGTCTTGTGCAGATAGCCACAGTTTCTGTGAGCTCATGTGATCACGATGACCATGGCAAGTACAGTGTTTCATAGCAACCCTGCCCATCCTCTCTCTCTGACCTTGTGTGTTTCCTAGCTTTTAAATTTTTATTTACTTTTTACATACCAATCCCAGGGCCCCCTCTCTCTTCTCCTGCTCTTCCCACCCCCAGTCTGCTCCTCAGAGAAGGGTAAGGTCTCTCCTGGGAGGTCGACTAAGTGTGTCCCATCACCTCATTGAGGCAGGACCATGTGTGTCCCATCTCCCCCCACACCCCACCCTGTGCCTAGCAAGGTGTCTCTCCATAGAGAATGGGCTCCCCAAAGTCAGTTCATGCATTAGAGTTAAATCCTGGACCCACTGCCAGTGTCCCCATACACTGCTCAAGCCACACCATTGTCACCTGTATCAGGGCCTAGTTCGGTCCTGTCTGACCCATAGCAGGATTTCTGCCCCGTCTTCTGCTGTCTTCTGAGCCCCACAGAGGATATTATGAATGTTTCGTTTAAGGCTGAGCATTCAACAGTTATTAATTCTTAGCATTTTCATCAGTTATGAGTCCTTACCTTACTTGACACCTACCAAAAAAAGAAACATCTCTGACCAAGGCTGAGACTAATTTATGAATATAACGTGTTTAAGAGGCACTTTGAGAACATGTTCACTTAGCAAAACAGCAGCAGGATTCTTCCTAGGGCTTATGACCTCTGCAGTCTGGGGCTTTAAAAACAACCACAACGCCTCCCCCAAAGTAACCCAGGTTTATAGTACGAGGCGTGAATGAATACCTTCTTGTGGAGTGAGTCAGATCCAATCAGAGAGCAGTTTGGTAGCTCATCGCATTGCATCAGGGGCACATGTTGCCTGGCAGTTCAGTACTGTCCCTAACATAGAGTCCCGACTGGGTAAGACAGTGATAGTCCCGTACCCCGCCCCCGGATGCCTTCATAGAAGCTCCAGCTCTAGGAAAGCTAGCCATCAAGGAGGAAACTTCCGGTTCGTTTCTTGATATCTTTGTGTCCTGCAACCAGAATGCGGGCTGTCTTCAGCAGTGTCATCTCACTGTTGAGTCATGGCGGGCAGTCAAGAGCAAGAGCAGTAACCTGTATTGTCTGAGAGACTGCTGAACCTCTGAACAGCTCACAGAGAGGAGTCCCACACAGAATGACTTTTTACATGATGTAGACTACACTGAAGTTTTAATTGCTGAGCAAAGAGAAAGTCATTTAAAACAAGTAAATTGTGAAGAAAATATTGCAGATTATACCTTTTTCCTCCAGAATAGGTCTGTTACCAGGTTCCTGAAAAACTCTCTTGTCCGTAAAGATCATATTCTTTGTAAAGGACGTAAGCTTTTAGACGGTTGGGCAATGGAAGAAATGACATGAAGACAGGGCAACGCAGACGTAACCGTCCCATACACTTCCGGATCTTGAGGCGGCACAAGTGCTTTAGAGAACGAGGGTTTGCTAAAACAGAAAGAATCACTTTCTTTTGGTGACTGAGGGCTTAGTTGGCAAATGTATTTGATATCTGTGTTAATAGTGTTTGTTTGCCATACTGTCTGTAGGGCAGCAGCTCTTCAGTTTTCATCGCTGTCCTCTGTAGTTTCAGAAGCACAGTTGTGAGTCTGACTTGGTGAGACTCCCAAACCTTTCAAGTACTTAAATATCAGCTCCCCCATCCTGTCTCTTGGAATTGGCTAAAAGCTCAAAGATCACCCCAGGAGAAGCAAGATATAAGAAAATCTTATTTTGACCCAAGCAAGAGAATTCATTTGGGGGAAGCATCATTTTATATGCTACAGGGTTAGAATGTAGCTTTCCCTTTTTCTGTTGCCAGTTCATAACTTCTAATTCTTGGGTGTGTATTGTTCCCCATGGCCACAGGTTAAATGGATTGGGGGAAAAGTGTTATCTGTCCATAAAGTAAGTAATTAGAGTTCATTTGATGGGAAATGATCACACATTATGAATAGCACAATTAAAGACTAGTATTTTTTTTATTCTTTTTATGTCAACCTTTTAATCAGAAGAATGTTCTAAAATAAAATAGATAAGTGTTTTGGTAAGAATTTTCTATAAGAAAGATACTTACTCAAGATCAAATGTATTTCTGGCCAGAGCTTCTGTTTTTCAAGCACAGCTTTCAATTTTGAGCAGATTTGCACTTGATCAACATAATCAAGCAACACACGGACAACTTTTCCAGAGAGATGCTGTAGCCATGACAAAGTTATGACTTCGCAGAACTGAGAGGAGAACAAGCAGAAAGCAAGTAAAAGAGCGCTGAGCACCCGCGCTTTGGCGGCGTAATGAAAAGAGCACTAAAGTCAGGGCATGAGCTCGCCTGACCTCAGTGTGGCTCCGGAGCCTGTGTGTGCTTCTTGGCCGTCTGCAATAAAGATGGCCTTGTAACTGACAGTTCTAGCCATCAGATGTGAGTGGGAGTCTGGGTGGTTGGAATGTGGGTGTGTGTCTCTCCTGTTAAACACAACACTGTCTAGTTGGAAGATAACTTAGTTCTGGATCTTGTAGGAGAAAAGAATGACACCCTTGGGTTATTTTTAAAAGACATTTAGCATGCGTGCATGCTCATGCGTGTGCATGTATTGAGGTCAGAGGACAATGTTCTGGAGTTGGTTTCTCCTTCCACTGTGTGGGCTCTAGGGATCAAACTTGGGTCACCAGGTTTGGTGTTAAGCACCTTTAGTCGAGCCATCTTGCTAATCCTACTTTTTTTTTTTTTTTTTTTTTTTTTTTTTTTTTTTTTTTTTTTTTTTTTTTTTTTTTTTTGAGAGGGAGCATGTTTCGAGACAGGGTTTTTCTGTGCAACCTTGGCTGTCCTGAAACTCACTGTGTAGGCCCAGCTGGCCTCGAACTCATATAGAATCACCTGCTTCCCAAGTGCTCGGATTAAAGGTGTACACTACCACCACCTAACCCTTGTTTTCAAAATTTGATAATATAAGTTCAGGTATATAGAACATCCACTATGTACAAAGCACAGACCTAAAAGGCAACAAAATGAACAAGAACTTGATGTTTATATATTTCTGAGGGGTTCAAAATAGTTAAAATGATAATCCTAGGTAAATGCTATTAAAGAAATATCCACAGTAAGAGAATTGATTGAGGGAGGGTGGATAAGGAGGGGCCTGTGGGAGGGGCACTTGAAATAAGACCAGAAAAGTGAAAGAAGCCATTTGAAAGCCCTGGAAAAAGTTGGTGAGGAAATAACAGAGGAGGTAAGGCAAAACCAAGAGACTGATGTGTGATTCTTTTCATCAGAAAGATGGCAAAAGGAAATGGGCTCATCAAATTTGAGAGCTAAAGAAACAGTGATTATAGGTGTGTGGAACTTAGAAACATTTTAGCTAAATAAATCATTCAAAGAAAAAGCTAGAGTACATGATCTTTAAAACCTTGCTCTTGTGTTGAACTTGTGAAACACCTCATATTTCTGACTAAAGTCACTTTCTCCTCGGAGTTATCTTTCTACTTCTTACATCTTCCCACTGTGGGTTTATCTTATGATGTAGCATACTAGAGTCTTCCCAATAGGAGCTTCCCCAAGGGCATATTGCATCTATTGTTATAGTTCTAAGATTAGAGACAATAATTGTTTACCAAATGCCACCAGTGCTGCGGACTTACCATAGTATCTTTAATAACTGTAGGTGTCCAGCCTTCAAAAGTACAAAAACGATGAACTCTGTCCCCGTGAGGACAATCAAAACATCGCTCTGTGTCATACCCATAATTCAGTAGCATCCTGAGCATGACTTCGTCTTTCAGTGAGTATTGCAGTGCCGATGGGAAATGCAAAGGGTTAACTCTGCAGAAGTAGTTGACGTTGGCCCCGTGCCTCAGTAGTAGATTTATGAGCTCATGGTTGCCCATCCTGAGAGCTATCTGTAGGCAGTTGACTGGGTCTTGATTGGGCAGAGCGCCAGCATTCAGAAGCAGTTTAACTGAAGAGAGGTCACCATTTGAAACAGCGAAATACAAGGCTGACTTCCTTTGATCATCATAATGTTTACGGACTCTCTGATCTAGCATGAAATTCACATCAAATCCAGCCTGAATGAGAATTTCCAGGCATTGGGGGTGCGCCCCAGCCGCTGCACAGTGAACTGGACTGATCCCACTCCTCTTGATGGCAGCAATATCCGTAACTGGAACCAACATCTTTAGAGCTCTGGGAAAAAATTTTCAAATGCACTTCAGGTTGTTACAATGCAGAGTTAACCTACTTATGAGACTGTTAGCCCTACATTGAATGATATATGTTAACCAGATGGTATTTAGGACCCCTACCAAAAGTGTTAGTTTCTTCAAGAAACTCAGATGTCAAGTAAAATTTAATGGAACTACTGTTAAGGGGAAAACTCCGAATTAGCCAGATCACCTGAGGCCCAAGGTTTCCATGGTTCCCAAGCAGTTCTTTAAAGAAATTTAGTTATTACTATTTCCTGTTTCTTACAATTACAGAATTGAACTTACAATAAGTGGCCTTTGTCAGCTGCCACATGTATGGGCAGGTGGCCTGAGCTTTTAGGAATGTTGGCGTCAGCTCCATACTCTAGCAAGAGGGTCACAGAGTCTGGATTTCCTCCTCTAACGGCTTCAAGTAAAATGGAGGAAGAATCAGAGGCCTGACTGTGAACATCAGCTCCTAGAAAGAGGAGAAGGCTCATTAGGCAAAGATTCTTTTCCACTATTGCTTAAGCAATCTTAATATACCATCACCTCCACAGAGGAGCAGCTCAGCAGTTAAGAGCAATTGTTGCTTTTCCAGAGGACCAGTGTTTGGTTCCCAGCACCTACAAGGTGGTTCACAACCATCGGGAACTCCAGTTCCAGGGGATTTGATGTCCTCTTCTGTCCTCTGTGGGCACTATACATGCATGTGGTGCACATACATACATCAGACAAACACTAATACACTTAAATATAAAATTTTTGAAAAACAATCAGCACCTGTTATAGTAATACACTAGGAACCGAAGGACATAAAATATGTGCTTCCTTTTCCCATGTGCTGTATAAACTAGTTGGGGAAGAAAACTAAGCAGTTCAGTTGACTTTCAGAGTTTAATAGATTATTTGATTCATATTTTACCAAGTATTCCTACTTGAAGTCCAGTGGGAATACTTGGTAGAAGGTAGCTTTTTTTTTCTAGACCGGCTTATAAAAGTCATTCTAACCCATAACATGCTTACATGCAGAGTGGCCCAAGCAGCCGGCTACATTTCTATGTCATCTAATGATGTTTTGATGACAAGGGACATTAGTTATTTTTCAAATGATTACAGACTTCATAGTAAAAGACCCTAATTCTTTTAGTTAAAGTTGAGGGCTGTTAATAGCTACAAGGTAAGTGTATCCACACTTCGTCGAGTATGTAGGTTAAGTGTCGTCTAGAAGAGCTAGGGCAGGGACTGGGAGGGGAGCTGGGAGCTGAAGAAAAAAAAAGATGTCAGAGTCGATGCTAGAAGTCTCGATAAAGCCGAGTGCATTCTGAGCATATTTGGAGCTCAATAAAAAAAATGTGCCTGAAATATAGAATAGACTCCTTCATCACAAGGGCTGCACAAGAACCTCATTCCTAGAATGCAGTAAGCAATCTAATAACCAGTTTTGAATGTTCACTACTATGTCCTGGTTCCTTTATATGTATAAAAATTTCTAAACTTGGGGCTGGAGAGATAGCGTAGTGGTTAAAAGTACTTATTGCTCTTCCAGAAGACCTTAATTGAGTTTCCAAAACCCAGGTTGGGTGGCTCACAACCACCTTTAACTCCAGTTGTAGGGATTCAATGGTCTCTTCTAGCCTTCTTGGACATCTACACACTAGAAGCACACACACACACACACAGAGACATGTAATTAAACATAAAATCTTGGGCAAGAGTGATGACACCTTTAATTCCAGTACTGGAAGGCAAAGGCAGGTGGATCTCTGAGTTTGAGACCAGCCTGGTCTACATGGTGAGCTCCAGGACAGCCAGGGCTGCATAGAAAGGCCCAGTCACAAAAATCAAAGACAGATTAAAAATAATCTTACGGAATATTTAAACTTCACAATGAACCTCAGAAGTAGGTTCTAATATCCTCATTTAAAGGTGAAAAAATTCAGGCTTTCTGAGTTTTAAGTTCCCCAAAGACACAGAGCTAGTAGACAAGCAAGGTGATTAAGATGAGAAAGTGGAAATTTTGATTGGTATTATTTATAAAGTAATAAAAAAGAGGAAAAAACAAAACAACAAAAATTTGTGTGCACATGTCCATAGCCAAGCTTACTACTATGAGACCATCTTGCTACTGCGCAAAAAGTACAATTTAGAGTCAGATATGACTTCAAATGCTGGCTCACTGGCTAGCCTATGATGGCTAATCTTAAGGGTTAAAAAGATTTAAAATTTGTTCTCTTTCTCCATCTCTATATTTAAATCACTGATCTAAACGAAGGTTTACTCTTAGTCTAGAGATGTGGTTTATTAGAGTTCCTTTGAAGAATGCAAAAGACTGGTTTAAACCCTGGCAATACACACACACACACACACACACACACACACACACACAGAGCGAGAGAGCGAGAGAGCGAGAGAGCGAGAGAGAGAGAGAGAGAGAGAGAGAGAGAGAGAGAGAGAATCTTTCCTTAAAGATGAAAGATCTGGTATTTACTTTTGTTATTCTAGCGAATGACACCTAACAACGTCTCTTAGATCACATATGTCAGGCGTCATGCTAAAATTTAATAGACATTTGATGGAGACCTGCTTCCTGTATAAAAAAGAAGTAAGTGTACAAAGGACAGAACTTTTCTTCAATACAGGGGACTCTGCCATCTAGAATATTGCAGACTGGGACTACATATATCTAAAAACTAAAACTTCTGGATATAAGGAGAATAAAAAGATAGGAATACTGTTGGGACTCCATACACTGCTTCATTGGACACATTAATGATGATCTCAATGATCTATAAGTTTTCTGAGCCAAAGGTTCCTGCTAGTCATCCCAGAATCTAGAATGGCCATCAGTATAATTCAGTGTTGCGGTAAGGGAGTGGGTGTACTGAAGAAGTTGCAGTTGGTACTGCCTTTGATTCTCTTTCCTCAAGTGCAGGCTGAGGTTGATATCTGCCTCACATATTTAAAGGACTGTGCGTGGCACACAGACTGCTTTAGCCTGTGGGATAGACAGTGCTCCGGAAACATGAATTGTCCTCTTCCCCAGGAGGGTGGCTGTTAGAGCAGAGGCTAGGACCCGAAGCAAAGCGGTCAGGAGGAATTTGCTCTTATCTTAGCAACTTGGTGACAAACTGCCTCATGAACCCCTTGGGGGTGTGGAAGGAGAGAAACAGGGAGGGGATATGCTAGCTAGCTAGATGATAGATAGATAGATAGATAGATAGATAGATAGATAGATAGATAGATAGACAGACAGATAGACAGACAGACAGACGAGACGGATAGGGCAGATACACAGTAATATTGGTAGAATATTCCTTTACACTGTGTGAAGATACTTCACTGTGATTAGTTTAATGAAAAGCTAAGCAGCCAATAGCTAGGCGGGATTTTTAGGGTAGCGAGAATGCTGGGAAAAAGAAGGGCAGAGTCGCTAGGAGTTGCCAGCCAGAGATGGAGGAAGCAGGAAAGCAGCATGAGCCGTGCAGCGTAAAGGTGGTAAGTCCATGAGGCAGAAAGTGAGTTAATAGAAATAGGTTCGTTTAAGTTGTAAGAGCTAGCTAGAAACAAGCCTAAACTATCAGCTGTGCTTTCATAATTAATAACTTCCCTCATCATGCGAAGAGTTTTACTTTTTTGTTAGTTGCTCTTTTCTACAAAGTCTCTGCAACAATCCATGTTCTCTCTCTCCCTCCTTCTCCTTTGCTCTCAACTTTGTCTCAACCACATAAATATCCAGTAGCTACTCACAGCTTACAAAACAAAACAAAACAAAATAAAAATGGGAGATGGCTGGCAGGACAGAAAGAGTCTACCCATTCTAGTTGTAGTGGTTCAAGTAAAATGCTGCAGGTCCCCGAGGGGCGCAGAGGCAGGATTGAGTGGGCAGGGCTTGTCTCTTAAAGGGACAGGACAGACCATTACAGTAGTGTTTTTTTTTATTTAAATAATTTATTTATATTTTATGTGCATTGGTGTTTTGCCTGCATGTAAGTCTCTGTGAGGGTGTTGGATCTCCTGGTACTGGAGTTACAAACAATTGTGAGCTGCCATGTAGGTTTTGAAATTGAATACTGACCCTCTGGAAGAGCAGCCTTGCTCTTAACCACTGAGCCATCTTGGGAGTAGTGTTTTACATCAATGAGATATCTGTTTTTTTTTTTTTTTTTTTTTTTTTTTTTTTTTTTTTTTTTTTTTTTTTTTTTTTGTCTTGTTTTGTAAGCTGTGAGTAGCTACTGGATATTTATGTGGTTGAGACAAAGTTGAGAGCGAAGGAGAAGGAGGGAGAGAGAGAACATGGATTGTTGCAGAGACTTTGTAGAAAAGAGCAACTAACACAAAAGTAAAACTCTCTTAGCAGGATGAAGGAGTACTGGGCAAAAGTCATCTGCAGCCTCAGAATTTGTAAAATTGTGTCACAAGAAATTCATTCTCCATGTTCAGGCTTTTCTTTTTGGACAGGGTTTCACTGCATAACCTTGACTTGGCTGTCCTGGAACTTGCTCTGTAGACCAGGTTGGCCTTGTACTCACAAAGATCCACCTGCCTCTGCCTCCTGAGTGCTGGGATCAAAGGTGAGCACTACCACCACCACCCAGCTGAGTTCAGGCTTTTAACAGTCAAGATTCACACACAATTTTCTCCAACACTGGTCTTTATAAAAATGTTAACATGTATTATTTTGAAATACCCTATCAGGAGGAATTCTTGGGGAACCTGGAGAGATGGCTCAGTGGTTAAGAGCACTGGCTGCTCTTCTAGAGGACCTGGGTTCAATTCCCAGAACCCACATGGCAGCTCGCCACTGTTTTAACTCCAGTTTCCAGGCATCTGACTCCCTCTTCTGGTCTCTGTGGACTTTGTATTCATGTGGTAAGTTTAAATAAGTATTAAAATATTAAACACAAATAAATAGATCTTTAAAAACAAGCACTAAACCCAACCAACCAAACCCAGCCTGGCTCTCAGTCCTCCTGTAGTCAGTCACTAAGCAAATCTTGCCTTTCTGCAGTAATAGTTCCATGATTTCAGTGTGTCCACCTTGAGCAGCAAGGGCAAGAGGAGTAAACCCATAGGAGCTCCGTGCATCTGGGTGTGCCCCCGAAGTCAGCATCAGCTTTACCATGTCCCAGTTGCCGAGCTTGGCAGCTTCATGGAGAGCTGTCCTCTTGTTGGCACATTGCAGATTGACATCTGCGCCATGACTGATCAGCAAGGTAGCCATGTCATAGGAGTCTTTCAGAACAGCTGGGAAATTGTGAGGTAGACATTACATAAGAGAGGCTTAAGGTAAGTGGCATATTAGGTAGTGCCCTGCTGTTTCTTAAGGAATTTTTCCCCTCCTCCCATGCTCCAGGATTCTGTTTAGTGTTATGCCCAAATCTGTGCAATCCCCGCAAGCCAACTAGGAGACTGAGTCCCATATGTAAAAGCAATACAGGTGCTCCCTGAGGTTCTTTTCAATGAAACTGATCATGGAGTTGCAACAACCAAATCATAGTCCCGGCTAGAGTCACAGCACCACAAACACAATATGAATACATGAAAGGCAAACATCCAGAGAGGAAGACAGCTGCCCACCATCACTGTGAAAGGCTTCATTCAGAGTGTAATGTGTGTTTGCCTTTACATGACTATTATCACGCCAGACACTTGCAGTTTTGAGGGCGTGGGGCTGACCCACACTCCTGTGGCTTATGCATGGCCTTCTCAGAAAGACTCAGCCCCAGGAGACAACACTGGGGTGCTGGGTTTAAAGAGCCAGCCATTATTATTCTCTGTCTTTCCTGACTATCTTTCTTCTTCCTCAGAGGATTTTTCTTTTTTAAGTTTTGTTTCTTGGGATATGGTTTCAAAATCCATGCTAGCTTTCAGTAGAGAATAGTTAGTTACAAGTGGAAGTTACAAGCTGGATACAAGCTAAAAAACAGGTTTCTCTGTCCAGCAGGGACCGAATGGGCAGTGTGGGCACGGAGAAGACCTAGACCCTTCTTTAAAGACAAGCTGCTCATTTACCTGTAAAAAGAGGAGAATTGCCTTCAAGATTCTTAGCATTTGGATTGCAGCCATTGAGAAGTAGAAAATGGGCATTTTCTAGGAGGCTACTGCTGACAGCCAAAAAAAGTGGTGTTTCTCCATTGTGGGTAGTTTGTTCCCACATACTGGGTTTGGTAGCTGAAATAAACCCATCACACCACATAGGTTAAGATGCAGAAATAAACATTCTTCAGAAGCATCAAGGGGAGCGAAAAGGAGTTTACCATTCAGGGTTATTTCTAAGATGTTCCTATTTAACTGCACTGCCGCCGTATGCAGAGGAAGCCAACCATCACCATTGGCTTCATCAAATGCAGAATGGTACTTGGTTAGGTGTGCCAGTGCATCTTCCTTACCTAGTAACAAGGAAAACAAAACATATTCTTATTTGGCACACACGGGAGCCCATGCTGCTTCTGGAATCTACACCAAAGCTGGTGTGAAGGAGTGGAATCCAAGCACCATCTTCAGTGACAGGCAAGTTTAAATGTCATGAGACCAGCACTGAGGCCTTGTACCCAGCATTCCACCCCCAGCTCTGTCTGCACATGAGTTCTGGCATTCTTTGATAAGTTATGCTGAAGTATTTTATCCCAGAAAAGACCACTTCAGACTCTGGGTCGCTCAAATGCCTTGTCTATAGGAGAAAGTAAAAAAACAGAGACAGATACTGGGGTTCAACCTGAAGATCAGAAAAGCAAAGCAGCCAGCCACTAGAGAGCTCTTGCATCTTTGAAATCTTCAGACTGAAATAGGAGTGAGTTCCTGTCTCGTCCTGCCTTATATTCCTCTCTAGTGCTGTGATTAAAGGCATGCACCACCACAGCCCAACCTCTATGGCTAACTAGTATAGCTTCTGGGATTAAAGGTGTGTGCCACCGCAGTCTGGCCTGTATGATTAACTACTGTGGCTGCTTTGTGCGGACCTTCAGGCAAGCCTTATTTATTAAAACACAATTAATATACCAATATATTTCCCCTTTTTGTCTAAATAATATGAGAAACTATATATAGTAAGTATAAAATATAAAATAAATATTGGTAATAAATACATCAACAATATCTAGTCCACTTGCATTTGACAAATTCTGAGAAAATATTCCATATCTATACTATCTTGGTGAGTCCAAAGTCTTGTACCTAAATTACTTTCTATTATAACTTGCTTTCTGCATCTGGTAAATGGGGAAAACTATAACTATCTAGTCTTCAACTCCCTCAGAGACCCAAGAAGGAAATAATGTTAACCACGTAAGCAGGAAGTGTGAACAAGCAACTTCCATAAAATGTGAGAAATGACAGAAACAGCTGGCAGCCTGGACAGTCACCCAGAGTTCCTCTGCAATGTTGGGGCATCCATCCATATCCTGTAGGCCTAGCACATCTGACAGACTTTTCTGTGAAGTAAGATATTCTGAGGGGTTGTCCCTCTTCATCTTGACAATGTTTGACAGTCACTCTCTTGTGTCCTGCTTGTCTAATTAGGACAGCGGACTGTTGAGGCAAGGGCACTTTCTTGACCAGTGGCTCACATTGAACACAATGAAAGCAAACTCCATGTGGAGTTTCTTCAATGCCCATCATCTTCTCCAAAGTAGATGGGTACTGCCAGGAGCAGACGTGTCTCATTGTCATAAAAAACAGAACTCATGTTATTAAACCATCTTAAATGGCATATTCTATAGATCTCTGAAGTGTTTGAAGGTAACCTGTTTATCTAAAATATATCTTTGTCTGACCTTGAAAACATACCTAATGTGACTACAAGTTCGATTATAATAGGTAATTCACTACTAACCTGCAATTTCCTTTTTATCCTAAACAGTAGTAATAATGTTCAAGGACTGGAAATTTACATTACATTGTTAAATGAGCTGTATAGATACAATGCATTGACTAAGAGTAGAAATGTATGTACAGTATGTTATAAGAAAATTAAGTTCAAATTTGTATCACTGTACAAAATTTGTATACAATATACAAAAGATGAATGCATGCCATATGATACTTCCTTGAATCTCCTTAAATCTGATATTATTAGCACAGGAGTCTAGCTAGCTATAACAGAGCCACTGCCGTTTGGCAATTCCTATAAGGTTACTGGATATATTAAGGTTAGTTGTATGAAAACTTTAAGCCGTTTCTCACTGTTCTTATAATGCAATGCTGAAATTGGCTCTCCATTAAATTCCTCTGTCTGGATTTGAGCATCTCTGTGATCTGTTCTATTTTGTTTTTCTAAGGTCTGTATCATCTTAGCACTCAGATTATCTAACTTTTTTCTTCAGTGATAAGAAAAAATGATAAAGCTGATAAAGTTTACAACTGAAATTACATAAATTCCATATAAATTAGATATCTTCTCATTTATTTGTTCCATTTTCAAACTGTCTAGCGTATTATCATACAGAGACCCAAATCCTTCCATTGTAATGATTTTTTCCCCATTTTTAATGTGGGGATAATCTCTCTCTTTTAACTAACTAACTCTTTCCTTTAAGAATTCTCAATTGTCTTACCAAATCTGCTGACTATGTTGATGAAGATGTAGGGCTTATTGCTTCTGTGTAGAACAGTAAAAGCCGGACTGAATTTCAAGTTATCTAGTTTGGCAGCAGCCTGAAAAGGGCATTCAGGGAGAGGGGCAACTCATGGTGGGGGGAGACAGAGAAAAAGAGAGAGAGAGAGAGAGAGAGAGAGAGAGAGAGAGAGAGAGAGAGAGAGAGAGGAGAGAGGAGAGAGGAGAGAGGAGAGAGGAGAGAGGAGAGAGGAGAGAGGAGAGAAGGGGGGGGGAGAAAGCTGGCTCTCTGAAAAAGGCTCAGGGGATTATTTGGAAAAAGCATGTGTGGCAGAAAAGGGGTTGGGGGGCTGCCTGAAGGCAGAACCAGCCAGTCCAGGGCTGGTGAGTCCTGTGACTTTTGGAGCCCAAATTTTTCTGGAGTTTGTGTGGCAATTGGAGACTTTCAGAGAGGCTACAATAGGAAAATTCCAAACTTGCTTAGAGGCTCTGAGAAAAATAGAATAGAAAGCCTAGCCAGGTGGGGCAGAAGCCCCAAGTGCAGCTCTGGCCTGTACCGCTGGCTTTTTTGTGAATTCATACCCCAAATATTGGGCACTAAATATAGCATGACTAATAAAAGCCCACAGACATATATTGGGGTTCAACTTGAAGATCAGAAAAGCAAAAGCAGTCAAGCCGCTGGAAAGTTCTTACGTCTTTGAAATCTTCAGACTGAAAGAGAAATGACTTCCTGTCTCATCCTGCCTTATAGTCCTCTCTAGTGCTGGGATTGAAGGCCTGCGCCGCCACCATCCAGCCTCTGTGGCTAACTAGTGTGGCTGCTGGGATTAAAGGTTATGCCACCACTGCCTGGCCTGCATGGCTGACTAGTGTGGCTGCTTTGCACTGACCTTCAGGCAAGCCTTATTTTTTATAACACAAATAATATGCCACCATAAGACTGTTTCCAGACTTCTGGAGCATGGAAGGAACACTGCCACCACTGTAGCTCAGCACACACTGAAGGAGAATAGGAAGAGTACTTAACTGTCTCTATTGCTTCAACTATCTTCTTATGACCAGCACTCGAAATGGAATGGGACCTGCACAGAAAAAATACGCAGTTAGAAATCTAATGTTTCTGATGGAAGCCCAAAGGAAAAGGCAAAAGCTTTTACTCAGGGCTGAATTCCCATACGAGGCAACCATGAAACCTAGCAGACCACTTGCCATGAGGGTGGGCATGCAGCCTAGTGTTAGAACTGCTTCTCTAACATGCACAACATCTCAGGTTTGCTCTCCAGTGCACACACCCACGCATGCACACACATGTGCTTGTGCATGAGTGCAAGGGTTGGGGCAAAGAGAGAGAGAGAGAGAGAGAGAGAGATCCCATTTGTAAAATGTAGTATGTTTCCCAATACATTATAGGGAAACTGGCTCTCCAGCTCTATCATTAAGCATAACTTATTAAACATAACTTCTTGGAGGCAAGGAAAAGGGTCGACTTGGGCGCCTAGACTGCAGGATATGCCCTCAGTAAGTGGTGCTGAATTGACTCAGATCTGTCTGAGACTGAAATATCATCATACCACATAAAAATTTGATACTCTGATTTAGAAAAAAATTGTTAGAAAGTACATAATCAGGGTGTGGATTCCCCATAGGCATAATTCTTTCTCTGGAAACAGCAACAGTTTAAACCCTCCTTTTATGAAAATACCTAAACATCAAAGCATTGTATATGAATTTTTAAAATTTGAGACAGAATCTCACTGCATAGCCCAGGGCTGCTTCAGATCCCTGCCTTGTTTCTGACTCTGCAGGAGTTGTAGGCATGCACCACTGTGCCTGGAATCAATATATGCATCCTAGATTCCTTTCTCAGATTACTCAAGGAGTTCAGGTTGGATAGAATGAAATTTCTTCGACCCTTTGTCCTGTTCACAATGTGGTCAGTTGCTTTCCTTTAACATTTAAAACTGTGCTTACGGGTTGAGTGCTGTGTTAGTTTCTTCCTGTAAGAAAGGACTGCACTGTTACTGACTTTAAACAGCACAAATCCGTTCCTTTGCAGTTCTTTGATTCTGGACTCTGGACAGATCTGGCTTCTCCTGAAGGTTCTAGTAAGGTTCTGCTTTCTTGTCTTCTACAGCCTCTAGAGCCATCATGTGGACCCATTCCTTCTTCCTCCAGGTCCTTGATTGGGTGCAGCCCTCCCTTCCATGGCACCTTTAGGTTCTTTCCTTTTCCTGCCTCCACCCTTTACCTAGGGTCCTTGTGATTACACTGGGCCTGCCCAGGTCACCTACACTAACTAGGTGGTTAGCATGCCTAATCCCGTTTAACTTTACTGCAGTTTATTATGTAATGTTTGCACATTCAGGGTCTAGGAATTAGGGAGTAAGCACTTTCAAGTGGGCCACTACTCCACACAGCACAAGAATGTTCTTGTTTTCTTTTGCGTGTGTGGTCCGCGTGTTTACATGTTCACATGTGTATTCATGTGCAAGAAGAGAAGAGGCCATCATCTGGTCCTTTCTCCATTGCTTTTCTACCACATCTCTCACCTGGCGCTCATCCTTTCAGCCAGATGGGCTATTGGCTGGCCAATGTGCTCTAGGTACTGACTTGTCTCTGCCTTCCCTGAGCACATTACGGATGTGCATCACCATGTCTTGTATTGATGTGGGTGCTGGGTATCTGAACTTAGGACCTCATGTTTGCGCAGCAAACACCATACCCATCCCTCACTCTAGATTTTTTAAAATTTTTTTTTAAATTTTATTTTTTATTGAAAAAAAAATTTCCGCCTCCTCCCAGCCTCCTATTTCCCTCCCCCTCCTCCTGCTCCCCACTCTAGATTTTTAACACCAACAAAAACCTGGCCCAATCGACAATTCTGGGTATACAAGTTTTGAGGTTTAATAATAAAATTTGTTATGACTATAATTTCAATTTCCATGAAACATTTCCTTACTTAGTCAAAATCTCTTATACTTTTAGACTAAAAGTATTAATTCAAAATCAATTGCTTGGTTATGGATTTAATACCATAACCATAAGACTGATATGACAAGACAACCTAATGGTCTGTATCCCATTTTTAAAATTGGATTTTGTGATCTTTTGTGTTCAGTTTCTTGAGTTCTTTGTATATTTTGGAGATCAGACCTATGTCTGATGTGGGGTTAGTGAAGATCTTTTCCCATTCTGTAGGCTGTCATTTTGTCTTGTTAGGAGCACTTGCTGTTCTTCCAGAGGTCCTGAGTTCAATTCCTCGCACCCACGTGGTGACTTGCAACGGCCTATAATAAGATCTGGGTGCCCTCTTCTGGTGTGCAGGCTGTGGGATAATGTTTTTGTACACTGTAAAGATTTGTCACTTGTATTGGTTTAATGAAATGATGATTGGTTAGTAACCAGGTAGGAAGTATAGGTGGGATAACCAGACTAGGAAAATTCTGGGAAGAGGAAAGATGCAGTTGTCATCCAAAAGTAGAGGAAGCAAGATAAGAATGCCTTATTGAGAAAAGGTACCAAACCATATGGCTAAACTTAGATAAGAATTATAGGTTAATTTAAGTTGTAAGAGATAGTTAGTAATAAGCCCAAGCAATAGGCCAAACAGTTTATAATTAATATAAGCCTCTGTGTGTTTATTTGGGACTGAATAGCTGGAACTGGGTGGGACAGAAACTTCTATCTACATGTGCAGGCATACATTCAGGCAGAATACTATATATTTAATAAATAAATCAATCTTTAAAAAGGACAACTCCCTGTATTCTAACTTTTCTTTCCGTTTTGCCACAGTAACGTTAAGGTCATGACTAGTCTCAACTGTTCGATACTTTTTGACATTCATTGCCAAGGAGGCAGACATTACCTCTTGTCTTCTGATGTGTGCTGAGTTACTCCTGGCTTGTAAATATCCAGCAAACTCTGCTGAATGATGAGCTGGGTGTCGAAGTCAGCATCTGTGTCCTCATCACTGTTGGAGTTATCCATGTGGGACTCGGAGAGGTTCACTTTCGACTCAGAATGAATTAAAATACTTTTCTAGTTGTGAAAAGACGTCCAACTGCTTAAAAATAGGAATGACACCTAGAAAACTAGAAAGTTGATAGGGTTGATAAATGAAGAAAATGCACATTTTGAAAACAAATATTCATTAAAAATTTTCCCATGGGGGCTGGAGAGATGGCTCAGCGGTTAAGAGTTTTGCCTGCTCTTCCAAAGGTTCTGAGTTCAATTCCCAGCAACCACATGGTGGCTCACAATCATCTGTAATGAGATCTGGTGCCCTCTTCTGGCCTGCAGGCATACACACAGACAGAATATTGTATACATAATAAATAAATAAATATTTTAAAAAATTTTTCCATGAAATTAAAAGTTTTCTGGACTGCCCATAGATTCAATATAAATTAGAAGTTTCTGTCTGGGTGGTGGTGGTGCACGCCTTTAATCCCAGCATTCAGGAGGCAGAGGCAGGAGGATCTCTGTGAGTTCAAGGCCAGCCTGGTCTACAAGAGCTAGTTCCAGGATAGGCTCCAAAAGCTGCAGAGAAACCCTGTCTCAAAAAAACACCAAAAAAAGAAGTTTCTGTAAATAGACATTTTTTGTTTGTTTGTTTTTCGAGACAGGATTTCTCAGTGTAACAGCCCTAGTTGTCTTGGAACTTATTCTGTAGACTAGGCTGGCCTCCAGCTCATAGAGATCACCCTACCTCTGCCTCCCAAGTGCTGGGATTAAAGGCATGTGCCACCATTGCCTGGCATAAATAGACATTTATTTAAAACTTATTCAAGAAAATCTTCCCTTCATATGAGACTTAGGTCATAAGTCACTGCCAACTATACACCAGACATTAATATCTAAAATATATAAACAACTGCAAAAATAAGTACCCAAACCCTCAAATGATCTAGATAATAAGAGGGCTAATGAACTGTAGAGATAGTTCTCAAATGAAACCAGTAAACTAGATGCTATAGTACCAGAAGGTGCTCGGCAGGCTTCTGGAGGAGAGAAGACATCAAGAGCCTTCCCAGCACTGGATCCCACATACCACAATAACAGCATGCTCAGGAAGATTGTTTTCCTGTAGTGTGAGAACTAACCACTTACTGATCGGCCATGATGCCTGCTCCACAGGAGGGATTTCATGCTTGGCACGGTCAGCCTGGTCATGCTGCTTGAGGAGACCACAAGTCAGTGGAGGGAGCCTACTATGGCTGTTTTCCTAAATAGATACACTATCAAAAACTGCTTTCTATGGTTTATAACCATAAATTTATGCTGCTCTAATCCTTGCTGGAGAAGCTCCTGTTTATGATGAGTGGTAATATAGAGACCCACACATGGGTTCAGTGTGGGTGTCAGTAACTGTGAGTGCTCAGCCATGGGTGACTCACATATATCCACACCCCCATCTCAAGGCACACCGAGGAAGAAGGAGCAGAAAGGATATAAGAACTGGCAGATGGGGAGGAGAGCTGCAAATGATGTTCAGACAAGATACAGCTGTGGCACACAACTCACAGCAGCTGTGGTTATAGCCCAGCACCTATGTAAAATGAAGCCAGTCTAATGCTAGCATGGATGCAGGAGAGGCTCTGCGAGGCCCTGCATCTCACTGAGGAACCATTGACACTTGATAGCTGAGCGAGGGAAGGTCACTCTCTTTCAGGAAGTGGCTTCTGGTAGGTTGCTCATGCTCCAGGGGATGCCCCACACCTGTGTACAGAAATGGGCAGCACTGATTGGACTCAGGGGGCTTTTGATAGCACTGAACCAGAGAGCATGAAGCTGGGGTAAGAGAGGGAAGGGCTAGGAGGAGCTGGAGAGAAGTAGTAGTGGATGGGCATTTAAGATGGCTTGTATTAATGCATGAAAATTTCAAGGCATAAATAAAGATACTATTTAGTAAACAAAAACCAGCCAAAAGAAAATGCCCAGTAAATATCTAAAGTGGTATTCAATATCAACCTACTTAGCCATTAGGGAAATACAAATTAAAACTGCTTTGGAGATGGCTCAGTTTGTACACAAGCATGAGGACCTAAGTTTGTACCCCAGCACCCATGGGAAAGGAGGGTGTAGCAGCACAGACTTCTAAGACCAACACTGAGGGGACAGGGTTACACATAGGTAGATTCCTGGAACTTCCTAGTCAGCCAGTTTAGATAATTGGTGAGCACAGGGTTTAGTGAAAGGCCTGGTACCAAAAAATAAGGTGGAGCAGATCTCTGCAGTCTCCAAAACAACACAGGCGGTTGCCACGGCCCCTCTTTACTCACAATAACTGATAGTTTAGTGCTATCAAAAGCCCCCTGAGTCCAATTAGTGCTGCCCATTTCTGTACATGGGTGTGGGGCATCCTCTAGAGCATTAGAAACCTACCAGAAGCCACTCCCTGAAAGAGAGTTGGTCTGGGATAACTGTCTATATTCTGTCAACTATGTTTTAAATAAACGCTGTTTGACCAGTAGCCAGGCAGGAAGCATAGGCGGGACAACCAGACAGGAAGTAGAGGCGGGTCAATGAGAACGGGAGAATTCTGGGAAGGAGGAAGCCCATTTCTCCCCAGTCCTATCCCAACCACAGAAGAAGGAAGATGTGATTACCCCACTGAAAAAGGTACCGAGCCATGTGGCTAACATAGATAAGAATAATGGATTAATATATGTTATCAGGGTTAATAAGAAGCCTGAGCTAATGGGCCAATCAGTTTATCATTAACATAGACCTCTATGTGATTTCTTTGGGACCTAACGACTGTGGGAACCAGGCAGGTCAGAAACCCAGACAACAGAGAGTGACCTTCCCTCGCTCAGCAGCTATCAAGTGTCAGTGGTTCCTCAGTGAGATGCAGGGCCTCACAGAACCTCTCCTGCATCCATGCTAGCATTAAACTGGCTTCATTTTACGTAGGTGCTGCGCTATAACCACAGCTGCTGTGCACTGACATGTGCAACAGCTGTATCATGCCTGAAAGTCATTTGTAGCTCTCCTCCCCATCTGCTGAAGACTCTAAAAACTTTGACGCAGGAAACCAGTAATACTCACCCCTGATGGCTAGCTTTCAGTGACACTCAAGACTTCACAGCAGCCACGGTTACCTGCAGACCTGCACAAGATCAGACTCTTCAAATTCTGGCGTAGATGGAGCAGATGACCTCTGACCCCATCTCTTATGGCAAAACCATTGTCAGTTGCTGTCTCCTAGGTGAGTGAAAATCATTTCTAAAAAGGGTGTGGCTACTGACAGGGTTTCCACGCTCTGTGGGATGGCCCCACATCCACCCACACACGTATGAACTTAGTGGGTGACAAAAGGAAAAAAAACCCACAAAACAAAAGAAGGACAAGAAGCTGGGAGGATGACATGTTGGGGGACAATATATGATCGTATTTCATTATATGCACCCATAAAAATGTTAAGAATAAAGGAAAAATTAAAGAGGAGTGGAGAGCAATAGAGAAGTACATCCCACACCGCCCCGCCTCTCTGCCACACACACACGCTACAGGACAGTAGCAAGGGACCAGAAGAAGATATGGTTTTAAAGGAGGGAGAAGGGGGCCAAAGGAGAGCGATGAAAACATATGATATGAAAGTCAAAAGGGGACTGTATGGACAAGGAAGGGGCTGCGCAAGAGAGGCAGGGAGGGCAAAACCGAGAGAAAGGAAGGAGGAAAGTATAACATGTGTGTCTGAAAATGTAACGAAACCCATTTACATGCTAACTTCAAAATTCAAAGCAAAAAAGGTAAAACAACAACAAAAACAAACAAAACTATTTGTAAATAAATAATTAAATGAAAGGGTTTTTTTTTTTAAGCCCAGGCCATTTTTGCAATATTGAAATTCAAATTTTCAATTTGAAATTGACTTATTTTAGACAGAACATGTCTAAATGATTCTAGCACCCAGAAGATCTTCCGGATACACAGAGCATGTCGTGCTAATACTACTTTACGTGGTTAAGTGAAAGTGAGCGCACCATGGGAGTAAACACATCACAGAACAGGAAGAGCAGCAGTGGGAACAAGCCAGCGTTTCTCCAGGGTTGGAAAAGAACATTGCCATTTTAGTATAGAACAGGCTCTAAAGACTAACTTTACCTTTTGTTTATCCTCGAGGACAGCTCTGGCTCCCATGTGGCAGGTGCATCTGAAGCTCCACTCCCCTCTGGCGAGCATTATAAATAGCTTTACTATAAATACTTGATCATAAGACAGTCTGGCATGTTCTCCTTGTTTTTCACATGTGGGTTTGTGCTGCCTGGAAACATGACCTCTTTTCTTCACTTCTAGATTCATCACATTTAAAAGATTTCATCCAACTTGGCAGATATAAAGTATTTGCAGGGGGTTGACCATGAAAAAAAATCATTTTGCCACTGGAGACCAGAATTTCTTACTTAAGAGGAGGAGGCAGTTTTGCTCGGATGGCATTATCAGAGGTGACGTGACTCCTGATCCTAGTAGCACTGGCCTGCAACCCTAGCTGCTGGGAAGGCTAAGACAGGAAGATTCCAGGCCCAATGCTTGTTTGGGCCACAGAGTGAGTTTGCAGCTAGCCCAGGCTACTTAGTGGCACCCTGTCTCAAAGTAGAAAGTAAAAACGTGGACTGGAGCTATAGCTCAGTGGCAGAGGACTTGTTAACATGCACAAGACCTCTGGTTAAATCCCCATCACCACCAAAGAATAACTGCTCCACAGAGTCACTGTAGCCTTAAGCACCCTTGGGACCCCAAGAAAGGGATGACAATACAGAAGTTATTTTTAAATTTGTGTGTGTGTTGAGGTATTGCACACACAGTGTACATGTGTTCAGACAGAGATCAACCTAGAGGTATTACTCCTCAGAAACCATCCACCTTTTTATAAGATTTTTATTTTATGTGCATGTGTGTGTACCTGCATGTATGTATGTGTCCCTCTGTGTGTAGGTGCCCCTGGAGGCCAGAAGAGGGTGTTGGATCCCCTAGACCTGGAGTTGCAGGTAGTTGTGAGCCACCTGATGTGGGGGCTGAGAACCGAGCCCAGTTCCTCTGCAGGAGCAGCAAAAACTCCCAACCACTGGGCCATCTTTCCAGCTACCTTCTTGTCTTTGAGACAATCTCTTTTGACCGAGAACCTAGGGTTTGCTAACTAGGCAGGCTGGACAGTGAGTTCCAGGGATCTGCCCGTCTCCACATTCTCAGCCCTGGAATTACAAAGTGCATGCCACTACGTTCAGCTTCTTCTCTCTCTTTTTTTTCCTTTGAAGGTAAACATTTGATTTTTGAGGAACTTGTTACTGCACACTTCAGAGAGAACTATGTAAGAAAGCAAATTCTCCCGTCATCCTAGGAATAAATAAGGGCATAAAATTTCATCTTTAATCACCAGCATCCAAAATGAACAACAAAGGAAAAATAGCATTTACTATATATTTCAGATTTCTTTGGTTGGGGCAATCCCCATGTGGTATTTATATTTCTTCTTTTAATTCATATTACCCAAACAGTAAAAAAAAGGAAAAAATTTATAAAGCTAGTGGTTGCTGAAACTGGGGAGGCCGCTCTCCTGCACCTGTGCAGGTTCCTGGGCTGCAGCTTGACGGACACTTGCTGGCTCATTCCCTTTGTCGGTGTTCGCTTTTTAAGAACTTGAAATTTTCAAAAATGATGCGTATGTGTGCTCATCTATGTGTGGGCGTCTGCACATGAGCACAGTGCCTAAACAAGCAAGAGGAGGGTGCTGGATCCCCTGGGGCCACCTGACTTGGGTGCTGGGAACTGACCTCAGCTTGTCTGCAGGAGCACTGTAATATTCTAACTGCTGAGTTTTCTCTCCAGCTACCACGTCTAGATTTTGTACTTGGGTTCTGGACACTGAACTCAGGTTCTCATGCCTAAATGGCAATCACAACTGAGTGATCTCCCCAGACCCACAACAAAATGCAATTTTGATTAAATTCTTGTTTTGTTGAAATATTTATAAAATCCACAGTGTATATTAATATGATCAATGCACACTAAGTAATAAGAATATCAAGTGTTAAAAGTAACAAAGGGGAGAGAGAGTCAGCAGGCTGGCTTGGAGGGTAAAGGTGTTTGGTATGCAAGCCCGACGACCTGAATTCTATTCTCTAGATCCCAAGGTAGAAGCAGATCCTAACCCCCCCAACAGTCATTCTTTGCTCCTCACACAGGCCCTGTGGTAACCATGCCCCTCCCAACTCTCTCTCACTCACTCTCCACATTACACTGAATAGACTAAAGTCCAATTCTAGTAATAAAACAGAAGAAGAAATTTAAAAAAGGAACACTTGCTATTTCCAATGAAAAATGAAATGCCAAGAAGGGCAATGTTGCTGCAGCCAAGGAAACCGGCACTGACCACCAGCCAGCTTTACCATTCCACCTTCGCTTCCTTGTTAGTCACAAGAGTACTTTGAGATGTTGAAATAATTTCTTAATAATACATATTAATGGCCTTTGCCTTAATATTTTCTTCACTGTGCTTTTAAGTATTTAAAATGCTCGTGCGTAATGTTGTCAGGTAGCTGGGAAGAAAAGACCCGTTCAAGGAAGGACGTCAGTTTGAGAATGTTTTTATAAGTGAAGATTAAAAAGTTATCAGATGTTTTCTAAATGTGTTCAGTTTAGTTGTCCAGCTGACAGAGCATCGCCACACCACGCTTGATCCAGTGTTGGACAGGCAGGTCCGTTTTTAGCAGCATTGCAATGACAAAGTTGGTGGAATGTCCTGTAGTGGAAAGAGTTCCTTTTCGTTCACTTGTCTTGTAGAGGGGACAGATATAAGCGTTTGACTTCACAATCTTAGATTTTTCATCTTGAAAAAGAAAAAAAAGAGAGATATTTCCATTGAAGAAAGAGGAAACAGCGATTGTTTCTAAAAGAACAACTACTTACTTTGTAGTAGCATGGCCAAGATCTTGAGTATGATATTGGAAAGATGGAGATGTTTTAACGGTATATCAAGGCAAGCGCTTTCATACGCTTCATGAGTCTGGGTCTAGACATCAAGAGTTGATTATGAAGTTTTGCTCTTATGGGACTGGAGAGAAGGCTTAGTAGTTAAGAGCACTGGCTGCTGTTCCAGAGGACCCAGTTCAGTTCCCAGCACCTACATCTGGCAGCTCACAACCTTTTGTAACTCTAGATATAGGATGTTTAATGTCCTTTTCTGACTCCTACAGGCACCTGCACACACATAGCATATACAAACAAATTAATAATTAAACTCTTTCAAGTAATTACGTGTATACATGTGTGTATCTTTGTGTGGGTATGAGAGTATGTGAACCTGAATTCAACTCTCCAGAGTCCAGAGAGGTCACTGGATCCCCTGGAAATGGAGTTACAGGTACTTGTGAGCCATCCAACATGGGTGCTGGGAAGGCAACATGGGTCCTCTGGAAGAGAAGCAAGTGTCCTTAATGCTGAGCTATCTCTTCAGCCCCATAAACATAAATCTTACAGAATAGTTTTGATCCCTGGGAAGGCATGAAAAATCTCTGGAGGATATGGGATGGAGGAGAAAGAGGACAAGATGGGGAAGAAGTCCTTTATATTAATTATATATAAAGTCAATTATAGTGTGTGTGATGGAGGAGATTTGGGAGAAACTGCCTAGAACTCTAGTAGAACTCCTTAGAACTGCACTTGACGTTTGGAATGAGAAATGAAGCAAATGCCAAGAAGGAAGGTATCCCTGAAGGTGTGAGGCTGGCTTTACCTGCCAGCCTGCCTTAACATGCCAATTAGAAGAAGCTGAATTTCCTGCTTGTTTTTAGCAGGTTACTAAATAGATAAAATATACCAACTTCTGCAAACTCAAAAAATAATTGATGTACAATTCTTAGAAGGGTTTTTCTAAATGAAAGCCACGCTAGTCATAGTTGAATCACATTAATAGGGAAGATATTTGATAGGTTGGGTGGAGATTGCAGGTAATTTGTGAATATGTTCATCCACTGTATTTAAGACTAAAAAATTGGGGCTAGGGGTGTAACTCACTGTTAGAACACTTGTCTAATAAGTGTGAGGCCCTAGGTTTGATCAGAAGCACTTCAAAAGAGTGAAATTAAATTTTTTTTAAAAAATTAGAAAAATGAATGAGTCTCATTGTTACTGTTTAGTTTACTTTTAGAAAAAAATGATGATGGTAGAAAGAGCAAGTGCGTCCTCTAAGGGGTAAAGTTGACCTCGATCCCATCTCCTGGTTGGCTCCAAGGCCTATGGGTCTCTTACAGCCAGAAAATGCTGGGCATTCGCACAGTCTGCATCAAGCCCTTTGTATTATGCACACTTAGCAAAGGCACTCAGCCAAAGTGTGGGAAGGGGAAAGAGGGCTGTCACACCGTGAGATTTGTCACAGAAGTGTGAGGATGGAATAAACAAAATGGTATCTTAAGAAGATGGTTATTTTCGAATTTATATTCTCTCTCTCTCTCTCTCTCTCTCTCTCTCTCTCTCTCTCTCTCTCTCTCTCTCTCTCTCTCTGTGTGTCATGTGTGAGCTGGTGCCTGCTGAGGCCAGACAGGGTGTCAAATCACCAGGAGCTGGAGTTACCACCAGATCCCCTGGGTCTATAGTTACCAGATGGCAGATGTGGGGGCTGGAAACTGAACTTATGCCCTCTGGAAGAACAGCAAGTGCTCTTTACTGCTGAGCCATCTCTCCAGCCCTTAAACCTGTATCTTATATAGGCTAATAGCATAAAGAAGCAGAGCAATGGTCCCAAGACATTTACAGCACAGACATTCCATCTTGTATAAATCACAAATGAATTAAAACCTAAAAGGTTTCAGCAAAAAGTTATTCAAGGAAATAATTATTCTCTGTAAGACTCTACATATTCTGTTACATATTTACTTGGTTTTATCCATATGATGGGCATCAGGTCAAACAAAAGTTTGGGATGTTGTTCAGCAAGCAATCCACTGCAAAGAGAAATTGATGGATATTATTAGTTATTTCTGAATTTTGCTATTAGAACGAAACTGCAATTTGGACACTGGCCTTCAGTATGAGAGAGGACCAAAGATATTTTAAAAATTAGATTTATGTACAAAGGGAGGACGAGTGGAAAGGGGGAGGGGAAGGGAGGAGGATGAGGCAGTGGCGAGCTGAGAAACACTGAAGACTGTGGAAAGGCGAAGTATGACGCGGCGAGCAAACAGCAGCGCCTGCCAGTTTTTAAGAATCGCTCCTGAGGCAGACCCTGTGCTAGCACACTGCACCCTCACGATGATCATGTCCATTCCCACCCCACAGACAGAGGCTCAAAGACTAGATAATCCTCCAGTTCCCAACAGGGTCAAGATCCAAGCTTGAGCTGGGCGTGGTGACACAGCCCTGCAAATTAGCACCACTAAGTCAGGAGCACTACTGAGCCCAAGGTCACTCCTGGACACAGAGGGAGACTCTGATAAACAAGACAAAACAAATATAAAATAAATTAAAGTTAAAAAAATAGGTCTGCCTCTCTAGAGAATCTGTTTTCTTCTAGTATGCCACATTTCTTGGGCAGGGGGAAAGGAAGGAAGGAAAATTAAATAATTTAAGAAGGCAAAAGAAAATGGCAATAAACTGATGTGGGGCAAAACCAGCCATGGTGGTGCACACCAGCAGTACTATACTTGAGAGGATGAGGCAGGGGGATAAGGAATTCAAGGCCAGCCTGGACTACAGTTGTGTGGGGAATATAATTCAGTAGTTTGCAGGGGATTATTAAAGTTAAGATATTGTTATGAGTCTCAGAGGAGACTTGGACTTTTAAACAGTTGAGACTGTGATAGACTGTGGGGCCTTCTGCAGTTGGACTGAATGCATATTGCATTATGATAGGATTACAAGCCCACAGAGGCTATGTAGTAGCTGGGCCTCTTCATTAAGTCTGTCTTGAAATTATCTCTGTAGCATTAGTGTATTGCTTCTTCTGCAGTGATTTTCCTACCTTATTTTCCACAGATTTAGGAGCAGAGTCCAATCCTATCTTTGAACAATAGAACGTGTAGGTAAATGAATTGTTAAGAACCATGGCTCAAAGGGAAATGTTCTGCCTTTTCTTCACACCTTTACTTATTTTAAGCTGGGAAAAACTTAATAGTTTCCTCTGTGTTTCAAAGAACAAAGCTGGGAATCTCTGTCTATACACACAAAGAGACACACACACACAATATACTCATTCATACACACACAGACACATATACAGACACACACACATACACATACCCAAATTTATACATACATATTGACACACAGACACACACATACATACTTATACATGCATATTCACAGAGACACATACATATATACACACTCATACACATAGACACACGCACTTATACATACATATTCCCACACAGACACAATCAAATGTAAGCAGATTTCCAATCACTAAATAGAAGCTTTATTAAACTGTCAGTTGTTTAAAATTGACTCAGTCCTACACATTATAAGATGGAAGGGAGCGGTTATCAAATAGAAGCAGGGAAATAATTTCAGCTAACTTTTGTACTAATGAGACCACTAAAACATTAGCTAAAATTGTTAGGAGCTAAAAATAATCACCCATCAACTGTCCCAGCCTGAATAATGACTTGCCTTGTGTAAGAATTCTGGTAACAGGCTACTTCTCAGAGAAGAGATCCTTTGGTTTGGAAAAAGACAGGAGACCCCCATCATATCTATGATTAATCTATGGTGGTAAAGGGTTTGCACTTAAAGTACTAACCTGCTCCTATCCCAGCGTGCGCCATCAAGATATAACCCGTGAATGTAAACACCATCTTCTGGCGCAGTGTCAGAGTCATGGGAAGGGATCACCTGAGAAGAGACCCACACTGTCAGTGTTCTTCAGCACACGCCTTCATCTCACGGGGAGAACTGTGGCTCAGCAGTCAGGCATAGCAAGAAAAACACCTGTATAATATCTAAAAACATACAATATTATATAGTTGCTCTCTGTATGTGTGCGTGCACGTGCAGGTATATGAACATGGATGTGAATGAGTGTGTTATTCTTCAGGAGCCATCTCCCTTGCTTTGTTGGTTAGTGAGTCCCAGGTATCTGCCTGTCTGCCTGTCTGCCTGTCCACCTCTCTAGCACTGGGGTTACAAATGCATGTCATCTGGCCAGAGGTTTTCTCCTCTTTTTTTTTTTCAAAGACAGGGATTCTCTGTGTAGCCCTAGCTGTCCTGGAACTTGTTTTGTAGACCAGGCTGTCCTCAAACTCACAGAGATCCATCTGCCTCTGCCTCCCAAGTGCTGGGATTACAACAGGTGTGTGCTACCACTGTCTGGCATGGCCAGCAGTTTTACATGGGTTCTAGGGGTAGAATTCAGGTCCCCAAACTTATGTGGTAAGCATTTTACTAACTGAGCTATCTACTCAGCCTTGTATAGTTATTGCGAAGCATTTTATCACATTAATTTTTGTTAACATAAAAACAATACTGGGTTGTTTGTACTAGATATTGACATTACAAAAGTTCTAAATATAGTAAGCCAAGAATTACATACTTTATAAAACATAAAGAATAGAAAAATAATTTGGTTATATTGGACCTTAGTATATAAATTTTGCAAATTCTTCTTGCTTAAACATATGACTGATTTAATATCATACTGTTGTACCTCAAATTTGTAGCCTAGTAGATCAATCGGGATGGTATATTTTCTGGCATAATTCTGCATAGCTCCAGTTAAAAAAGCTTGGGTGAAAAAGAAACCAGAAATCCAAAACACATTGGGTTTTCCCAAGTTGTACCATTCCTATAAAGGAAACAAGATACGTTATGTCTGTTTTCACAAAAGCACCATATAAACAATCCCTGACTCGGATTTCACTTGTCTCCCCAACATCAATTGCTCCCCCTCCCCTCTTTTTTTCTTTCTATTTATTCTTCTTGGAAATTAAAAAAAATGGCTTTAGCATTAATTTGATTAAATTTAACTTGAAAAAGTCAAATGTGAAAAGGCCAACTGTAATTGTGGGTATTCATTATATTGTTGAGTGCAATGAAGAGCCACCACCTTTAGAAATGTCAGCCCTTAACTAACAGTATAACTCGCTAGAGCTGGCGCCTTTCCAGATCTCGAACCCTGACAATCCCCTTGTTTGCATGGGCACTGCCTATTCCGGATCAGGGATTCGCAATCTTCTTTCTGCTCCAGTGTGCACGGTCCTCTTGCTCCCGTCCTCCCAGTGTCTGAATCATGTCGTTGAAACACTTCAGACTTGTAGAGGTGTTTTGTTTGTAATCTAACAAATAAACCTTGCCTGAAGATCAGAGTGCAGAGTTAAGCCACTAGTCAACCTTAGAGGCCAGGCAGAGGTGGAACACAGCTTTAATCCCAACACTTGGGAGACAGAGGCAGAATCTCTGTGAGTTCAAGGCCACCCGGCTACACAAGATTGAATCTGTCTGAAAGAGAAACAGAGCTCACACAAAGGTGGTCACAACACTTGGGATCTCAAGTCTTTAATTCCAGCACTAGGGAGGCGGAGATAGGAGTGATGTGGCTGGGAGGGAGGAGACAGGAGCTCAAGGTAGTCTGAGGATTAGAGGAGACCGATGCAGTCTGATAATTTGTAGAGACTGGATCACGCTTTTGGTCTGAGCACTGGTAGAGGTAAGAACTCTCTAGGGGTTGGCTTCTCTATTTCTCTGATGTTTCAGCATGAACCCCTATATCTGACTCTGGGCTTTTATTATGAATACCAATTAGGTTTCGTGCTACACTGACCATGCATAGTTTAGAGCAGATTTATCACCTTGCATAATTCCTCAGTAGCCACCAAAGTAAAGCCAAACCTCCTAGTGTCCGACTCAAGATCCTTCTGACCTGGAGCCAGGGTGTATTTTCAAGTGTGCCTTTACTTTCAGGACGTCTTCACTCTTAGCCGGACTGCTAGGTGGTCCTGTCTGTGCTGAGTGAGCGCCTGTTTTCTTTTCTGCTCCTGAGAAGGTTTTATTGCCCTTCTTCCACTCTGCCTGCATGCGCAGCTCGAGCCTTTCTGGGGACAGAATTCTACGGAGTCCTCGAGGGGGGCATGTGAATAATGTCCGGCCAATCACACGCCCAGTCATGGTGGCCAGAGACACAGCGTAAGCCAAAGATGCAGAAACACTGGCTGAAGCTCTTGCTACAAGTTCTACCCTGCTCTCAAAGTACCCCTGCAATTTTCCTCACACTCTACCTTCCTGTAAAAGTAAACTCTCAGACAAGAAAGCAGAGGATTGAGGAAGAAACCAGTTTCTTGTCTTTTACTTTCCTGAGCTCTGAACATCTTTGTGTACATGTATGTGCGGGTGCGGCGGGAAGGGAGAGTCAAAGAACTTCTCCCATTTTTTTCCTTTTGAGATAAGGTAGGAAAAAAGCTCTGATTTTTAAGATGAAGGACAAATGTCGCTAAGTCTGAGCCTTGAGCTTTTTGTGACTTCTGAGTGTTAGAATCACAGGACAACATTAAACAGTAGTGTTTGGGAATCTCAAACTTAAAACTTTCATAAATATAAATGTCACTTGAGTTTGACTAAAGTAAAATTTCCGTTTTCTACTCAGTACTTCAAAACATGCATTTTATATATTCATACATTTTGGTCAGATAAACCAGGAAACTACTGATCACATTCCAGTCAACCTAGGGACCTTAAAATGACTCATATCTCTCTACTCAACAATGTGCTATGTGCTAATTTCTGACAATACTTGAATGAATATTTTTATTTGAATAATACATATTTTAAGCATAAAATTATCTATTATGCATCCACCATTTATCAATCTCTCTCTCTCTCTCTCTCTCTCTCTCTCTCTCTCTCTCTCTCTCTCTCTCTCTTTCTCTCTGTCTCTCTCTCAATATTTTACCTTTAAAAAATTCAGCCGGGCTAGGAAATCTGTAATGTAACTTCCAAGGGGCTTCAGACTTGGGTAAGACCTTTCCGCCCATATTTCTGGAACCTTCCCAATAAGCAAGCTGCTTGAAAGGGCTTCCAAGGCAGAGTCCATTACAACCACACCTTTGATCGCCTTCTTAAGGTCCTGCAGAGTGTTACGTATCGTTCTGATCAAGCTGCATTGAAAGAAACTGTGTCATCCACATACACTTGGCAGTAAATACCCTCATGTCATTGGCCAGGAAAGACAGCTGGAAGCAGCCACAGTCCTACGGGAGTGTTTCCTGAAGCATGGCTGTGCCCACTTGCTAGGTAGTGTGTGAGGTAGCTGCAGGTGCCATTTGAATGAACATTTTTCATTTTAGCCATCAGTTACTTTTTCTTTTTTGAGACAGGGTCTTATTATGTAGCTCTGGATGACCCAGAATTAGCTTTGTAGACCAGACTGGCCTTAAACTCACAGAGATCCCCCTGCCTCTGCTTCCTCAGTGCTGGATTAAAGGTGTACACCACCACAAGTGGCATACTATTTTGAAATATAGAATAAACCAGTAGCATATCAATTTATTATTATTTGATATTGATATAAAATATTATCAAATACTTCTCTGGCTATTATTGCTGAGGACCTAGATAACTTTAAAAATTATATGCTGATAAATATAATTGTGTATTTATGGAATAAAGGTGCTATTATAATTTTTAATATAATTGGAAAATAATGCTAACTTCATTATTTTAAATATTTCATATTTTATGTCATAGAACATTGGATATTTATACTTTTATGATATTAAAATGTAATGTACAAAATTATTATCTGTATTATTCATGTTGTGTGACTGTTCTGACAAACCAAGCTCTTTCCTTCTGTCTAGCTGAGACTTTGTACACCTTTACTGCCGTCTCCCAGGCTCTGATAACTACAGTTGCACCCTTTGTCATAGAAGATTACTTGTGCACAAACACAAGAAGATGCAGTATTCGTCTTTCTAGGTCTGGCTCATTTCACTTAGCAAATGTTCTTTGGTCCCATCCCTGCTGTCCCGAATGCCACAATGCCTTCCTCTGGAGGGGGTAGATCCTGTTCACCGTATGGTGGGACACATTCCCTTTATGTTTTCATGGGTAGATGTTATTCTGTAACATTGTTATTGTGAGCAGCAGTGTAGTAAACATAGGAATACAGACATCTTTTTGACATATTGATTGAAAATCTTTGGTAAATACTCAAAAATGATACTTCTGGGTCATATGATATTTTTGTTTGAGGCCCCTCCGTGCTCACATAATGGATACACCAGTTTATTTTCTACTGGCTATTTTCATGGGAGTGAGGGATGGCTCTTAGGATAGTGTTAGCCTGTCTTCTAATACCTAGCTTCTGGAGATCTGTGTTAGAATGTGTGTTCCAGTCTCTTGCCCACTGATTAATCAGAATATTTGTTTTATTTCTGGAATCTGTGGGAATTCCTTACATATTTTATAAAGCTCTCACCCCATGATTGCTTCCTTAGATACAGAGAATCTCTATTTTGAGGTAATTCATTTGTCTGTCTTTGCCTTTGAGGGTCAGATCTTAATGAAAAAAAAAATCGCTGTCAGACTGAAGCTCTCAGCTTCCTCCCTGCTTCCTCTCACCAGTGTTATAGTCGCAGGCCTGTGTGTTTGGTGAGGGAACTCAGCACCCTGCATGTCAAGCATGCAGGCTGTTGGTGAAACACATGCCCCCAACACGTTCAGGGCTTGTGTTAAATCTATCTATTTGGAGTTAGTTTTGAATGTGGTATGATACAAGGTTTGATTTTATTCTTTTGTGATGTGGGAGTGTCATATCAATCTGTTGATTTCATTGGCTGAGCAATAAAGAAACTGCTTGGCTGGCCCTCATAGGTAAAAGCATAGATGGGAGGAGAAAACAGAATAGGATGCTGGGCGGAAGAGGAAGTGAGGTCAGACTCTGCTCTGCTCCCGGAGAGGCGCCATGCTCAGCTCTGCTGGATGGACACGATAGCTCTGCGCTCTGAGGCAGACGCATGAAGCTCAGATCCACGATGGACGGAGGCTAGAATCTTCCTGGTAAGCGCACCTTGGGGTGCTTACACACATCATTAGAAATGGGCTAGTCCAGGTGCGAGAATTAGCCTGTAAGGGCTAGAGTTCATGGGCCAAGCAGTTCTTAAATGAATACAGTTTGTGTGTTGTTATTTCGGGCATGAGCTAACCAAGCGGCCGGGGTGTTGGGGACGCAGCCCCGCCGCTTCTTATTTCAACACTTTTGCCCTAACACAGGCATTTGCCCAGCACCACTTATGCTGAGACTGTAGCTCCTCCGCGGTGTCACTGGCACCGCTGTCATGATCACTTGACTACAAATGTGTGTCTTCTGTTTCCTGGGCTCTCTATTCTGTCCCAGTGGTTAAAGCTGTTTCAGTTATACCATTTGATAGTAGTCTTTGAGTTTAGGTCGTGTGATGCTCCGGCTTTGTTCCTTTTGCTTATAACTGCATTAGATATTTGAGATACTTTCTGATTCTTTTTGAATTATATGAATTCTAAATTTTTTTCCTACAGCTATGACGCAGGGCATTTGAACTTTTATAAGGATTTCTTTTGATTTACGGACTATTTTGGTGAATACTATTATATATATGTATATATACACATGTATATATGTATTTATATACACACATGTATATATAATCACAGTATTTGTATAAGAAATACTGAATTATGGTTGCGGATGTGACTCAGTTGTAGTACATCTTCTTAGCATATGAGGCTCTAGGTTTCAGTCTTTAGTACCACAAAATAAAGAGGCAAGCAAATAAACAAACTACATCCCTCAAAAATCCAGAGTTAAATAGAACAACATGATATTTTAATATAATTTACTTTAATATGTCAACAAGACCAGAAAACAAAACAAACATAAATATTACAGAAAACTTATAACAAAACAAATTTTCTCTTTCTTGATCTACTATTGAATTACAAAAAGTTCATAAAAGTCAGAGCAAATAATTTGTTTATCATGGAATACCTAGCCAACTTCAGTAAGAAAAGGGAGTCAGACATAGCGGTGCACTCCTATAATTCCGCAGCGTCTGCAGAAGTGGAGGCTGCAGGTTTAGTGGTTCAAGGCCAGCTTAGCAAGTTGGAGGCCAGCTTAGGCTATACTTTGTCTCAAAGCCAACCAACACATAAACAAGGGCAAGTCTGATGGCTACAGAACTTAAACATAAAGAGAGGAAGCACATGGTAGCAGCAGAAACTGGGAGAAAGGGCATGGAGACCTAATCCGGGCTCACTCTGTCTTTAATTTAAATTTTAAAATTCTGTGTATGTTTAGGTATTGGTGTACGGCTATGAGCAAATAAGAGCAGTTGCCAAAGGAGGCCAGAGGAGGCCAGAGGAGGCCAAAGGAGACCATGGAACTGGAGTTCCAGGAGGTTGTGAGCTGCCTGCTCAGGCTCCCAGGAACTGAATTCAGGTCCACTGGAAAAGCAGCAAGTGCTCATAGCCATTGAGTCATCTCTCCAGCCCCATCTTTACTTTGTGAAGAGAACAGTAATGTAACAGATGAGAAGTTATTTGATTAATGACTATTTCTATTCAATAAGAGTAGATCTCCTTTTTATCATCATTTTTACATTATAAAAGATTCTCTCCTGGGACAAAAGGCCATGCTACTTAAAAAAAATAAAATTGGATGTTTGGATAATGTCTTAAGATTTTTAATTCAATACCAGTCAACCACGTTTCCAGCTTTGGTGGTTGCCCCCTGAGGTCCCGGGGATGTACTTACTTGTTGAAGCGCTCCATCTCCTGCACTAGCACGGTGTTCATGCTCTCTTCATACCTCACGGGGTAGCGCTGCAGCGCCGCTTCAATGTCAAAGTCGTTCGGGAGCTGTGAGAACAGACATTGAAAACCACAAGTTACTCTCAGAAGAGACAATAAGTTTCATTTGACTACAAGATTAATAACAGTTAACAAATAGGTAATCATTATTTTCACTTTACAGATTGGACATTATAGTTCTGAAAATCGGTGTAGTTTGTTTTTGCAAATTGAGTCTTGTTTTCCATGGATAACATGTGTTTACAATTTCATAACTGTTTTATGTTCATGTATAATAAAGTATTACTCTCCGATCAAATAGTTAATCTCATAATGCAGAAATGTTCCAGAGCGTAGGGAGAGAGAGCCACTTAGAATGTGATTCTTATGCAAAATTCACAGACACTGAGGTGAGGAGATGGGGAGATCTTCGGAATGCTGGAAGTCCTCAGACATTGGAGTTCATACCCCTGAAGTGCTCAGGAAGTTTCCCAATTAGGGAATGCTTGAACTGAGAGTTAAGCTGCCCTTTCTGTCTCAAGAATCTAAGTGGCATCACTCCAGTGACCCTTGACTCAGCGCTCCTCCAAATACATCTCAAATCTTCTTCCAGGTCCCTCCTAGGAATCGTATTGGAGACAGCATTCACGAAGCCAACAGTCTTTCCCTGCAGAGGTGAACTATAGAAGCAGGTTTGAAGGGCAAAATCAGCAGCTCGATGGCCAGGATTGTTGGCCTCTATTATGGTGGCCCAGAGTGCCACTTCCCTCCCCGCTGTAATGACCAGAGCCAGGATTATGTGGGAATCCTGTAGTGGAATAGGGGCCGGATTCTGCCATGTCAGGGGGCCTGTCACCGAAGTCTGTGCATCTTTACAGTAGTTACACTGGGAAGAGAACTAAAAAAATTGCTGTTGAGGATCGCAATCTGTCTGAATTTTCCTTAGTCGCTGGACAAAGATGGTAGCAGAGTACCACTCCACTTCAGCTAGCATCAGTGTGCTGGGCTATCTGCTGGGCTATCCCATGGGAAGGGAATAGCTGCAGGCTGAGCACTGATACCCACTCCTAAGGTACAGATAAAACACCATGTTCACCTTCAACCAGCAAGTTCAGAACATTCCATTTTTTAAAAAAGTCTTTTAAACTTTTTATTTAGAAATAAAAATAAATCCTGTGCACATTAGCTCACCCACAACTATAGTTACTAAGAAGTTGGCTACGCAGGAGGCATTTTACAAACTACTTCATGTTAACGTTCTCCTTACTGGCCTCAAACCTTTCACAGCTGAAGCTACTCTCCACCTAGCAGACTTGAAACTGTTGCTAACAGTCAGAGTCCAGCTTTATGGAGTTTCCAGTGCAGTTGAAATTTCTACCGCAGCACGAGCAGCACATTTTAAACTAAGTATTACCTGCTCCAGGATGTCTTCCGTGATTTCTAACAGGATCTGGTCAGCACTTCCTGAGGAGCCTGTCTGTTTGGAGCCTCCCTGGGTGAGGAGCAAGGACTCAAACAGGACTTTGGTTTGTTGAAGATCTTTGGAGATGTCAACATTTTCATGTAATCCGAATATCTCAGGTTCTTGAGTAAATGGGAGTTTCTATTGGAAAACAGATTAAGCGTGCATCATATGTTCACTGGCGATCAGGATATGCCACCCCCAAACACACCACCTTTGCACAACCATTATTTTGAGCTAAAGGCCCAAGATAGGCCCTAATCTGCCTAACTGTGAGGTGTCTGTGTTGTGCCAAGAAGAGGCGAGTTCTTACTAGATGTACTGGGTGAACCTGCAGATTTCACTTAGGTAACTGTATCTTCCATTAGCTTCCCTCATGTGTTTCTTAAGCACTTTCTCACAATTTATTGCCCCTTAAGGCCCAAGGCTTTTCCTCTGTGTTATCACCGTATTTAAATGGCCTTATAAACCCCAAAGTAAATTACTTCTTCTGGTTTTCAGTCCTTTCACCAAAGCTCCTGTATACATGAAATGTTAACATGAGCACAAATGATATGCTATTTCTTTCATGAGCTGTGAGTACCACAGGGGCAGAGGAAAGTGTGTTTTTTCCTTTCCTACTACAAAGCATTAATTCATAAGGCAGATGTGCAAACAACAAGGGGTTAAGAATCAACTCAACATCAAGTACCCCGAGCTTCAGATTTTCTGATGTCTAGAATTACCTGGACAAAATGAGTCTGAAAGTTCATTAGAATCTTGCTTGTCTAAACTTGTTTATTAGAGGGTATAACTCAATTAAAACACACACACATAGTTTTTCTCTCTCACACAAACTTTCTCTGTTTTGAGGATAGTAAAGAGAACGTTAACATGAAGTAGTTTGTAAAATGCCTCCTACATAGCCAACTTCTTAGTACACACACACACACACACACACACACACACACACGCACATTCACTCTCTCACACACAGACACACACTTTCTCCCCCTTCTCTCTCTCTCTCTCTCTCTCTCTCTCTCTCTCTCTCTCTCTCTCTCTCTCTCACACACACACACACACACACACACACACACACACACTCACTCGTCTTACCCTCATTTCAGACCATTTACCTTAATGAATTCAATGTAGTCCTCGTAAGTGCCTTTGGGAGGAGCAAAATAGTTCCCGCTGGGAGAAAACCTGTAGTGAGGGTTCTCAATGATCTGCGGGTTGTAGAAGTCGGCCAGCATGGTTAGCAGGAGGCGTCTGTCCCAGTCGTCTGTGACTCTTCCTCCGTAGTTGCACTCCCCAGTCAGGTAAGTGATAGCTTCGAATGGGATCGTGTCATATTCATTTATAAACAGCTGAGGCAAAGACGGAAGCAAAAAACAACTTTAAATTCTTTTACTTCATTTCTATTTTAAAATGGTATTCTCTTTTTTCTCTCTGCCTATGTATGTAGAAAGGGGGTGGAAAGAATTACTACCATAGTGCTACTGAATGTTCGGTGGTCAGTATCTTATTTTAAGTTATTTTGTCTCCATTCTTCGTTTTTTTTTTCTGTTATAAACATACTGATATTTATTTACTTTTACTCTATAGTCCAAGCAGGCTGCTTCCACCTTCCAAGTGCTGGAATGACAAGGGTGAGCCACCATGCCTGATTCATATGTTGACTGGTGTGTCTGTATTTCAAGGGTGTGACTATGGAGCCCAGATCAGGATACTGAGTGTCTGTCTCTACTACCTTTTTGCTTTACTGCCTTGAAACAGTAAAGCAAACAGTGAACTGGAAGCTTGCTTTCTTTTGGCTCGGCTAATTGGCCAGTAAGCTCTGGGGCTTAGCATGTCTCGGACTCCCAATGCTGGGGTCATGGGGCATACACATAGGTAGGTGCTAGTGACTCTGAGTCAGAGGCTCAGACAGATCAAGTGCTCTTTCCCAGTGGGTCATCCTCCCGCCCTCAGAATGCCATTTTCTTGGAAAAAAAATTAAAAATCACGTGTGATCATGTGCATATGTGTGTATATATGTAGTATGAGCTCATGGGAGTATAGGTGCCCCCAAAGCCAGATTGACATTGGATCCCCTGAAGCTGAAGTTACAGGTGGCTGTGAACTTTCCCAGCATGGGTGCAGGAACTGAACTCGGGTCCTCCGCAAGAGTAGCCTGTGCTCTTAACCACTGAACCATCTCTCCAGTCTTCATGATGCTTTTTTTAAATGAGAAAGATATTTAATTTAAATAACGGACATGGAAATTGCTAAAGCTTTTAAAAATGAAGGCTAATAAGCCTTCTTGGTAACTGGGATCCATTTTTATCTGTGAGGGGACTCAGCAATGCCTGGAGATCAGTAAATCATAATTGTGGTGGGTGTGAGGTGCTGTTGGCACTTCTTGGGTAGAGGTATGGGATGTTCTTCATGCACAGGATAGCTGCCCATAGTTCCAGAGGCCAAAAAGGCCAATGCTGAGACCCTGTGCCTGTTTTCGGGCACCTTTCACGATGAGATAAAAACAAAGTAATTTTAAGTCTTAGTGCTGGGTCCTTGTTCACATGGTGACATGGTTTCAATACAGAAGTTTCCTTATCATAGCAATAATAGTAAAGCTACGTTTCGCATGGCTTTCTCATTGTCTTATACATCTGCCATTAAACCTGCAGAACATGAAACAGGAGAATGTGAAGAGATGAGAAGACTTAAGTTTATTTCTTCCGCTTCTAGAGCCTATGCTTTGCCCAGCATACAGAGGAAGTGTGCATACTGCAATGATTGTTACTCGCGGAGACAGTTTTGTCTGTCTCTGTATTACAGAAGAAACGGTGCATGGTTGGGAAAATATTTTTTAAGTTTTCCAGAGCCAAAATAAGGGCTCAGTCTTTTTTTTTTTTGAGACTTTCATGTTTTCAAGAGGAAGAGAACTGCCAAGAGATGTGAGAGGGACTGAGGAAGAGGCAGTGTTATCCTCTGAGGAAATGAATTGTGTGCTGGATGAAAAGTTTCCCTCCTTCTCTTTGGGGGAAGGTACATGTATGTTAAACTGGAGGAGACCCTAGGGAACTGAATGTTAAATTTGTAGTGTAGGTAGGAAATGGAGACAACGCTCTCCCTGCTGTTTAATCCCTTAGCTGCCAGTTTCTGCTGCGACCTTGGAGAGAGGAACCCTGACCAGGTGAGGATGGTGCCCCCTAGGTGTGAAAGATGGAGCTAGCTGATGTCTATGAATTTCAGTGAATTCCTATGAATTTCTGGGAAGGTTGAGGTCATGAGACTGCCACCTAAGGCCTGGCAGATATCGAGTTCTCAGTTGCTTATAGGTTGTATGGCAAATGTTTGAAGCAAAATATTCTCCGAATCTACTACTAGTTTCAAAACCAATGCTCAAATCAAAGTCATTTAACATTTAATTCATAAGCACCCATTTCTGCAGCTATAAGGATTTTCAAATGAAAGACTTATTTGTGTTTAAGGTTTCTGATTCATTACTTTTAAAAGACTTGATAAGATACTAATAATTTATTTTAATAATTATTTTTTCTCCTTCAGTAGATCCAAACTTGGGCCTCGTGTATACTGAGCAAGTACCTACAACTGAGCTACATCTCCCACCAAGCATCAATAATTTCTAAAAAATAATCTGTAATTTTTATTATAAAGCCTGACATAAATACCATCAAATGTGGCCTAGGGACTGTTAAACAGTACTCCTTCACAAATGCTCATTCTGTTCTCATTTTACCTGCAGTTGCCGGATACTGATGCGTAAGTCTGACTCGTTGAATCCATATGGGATATTCCAACCCAGAGGACCGAATTTTTTTCTTTCTTGAACAAGGGCATGAAAAAAGCATACTCCGAAAAGCAACTTCTCCCACGCCTTTAATGTGAAAATTGCACAAAAGGAAAATCTGATTAGATTTTCATCAGTAAAAGTAGAAAAACAGACGCTCTTTCATTACAGAGTTCTGTGATCAGATGCCGCTGCCGACTTTGATTTTAAAAAGGCATGGATCATACTTCCTACAAAAGCATTCATGTTGTGCTTAGCTCAGATATCCAAAGCTAAGCAAATCATGATATTAAATGTTACTAAAATACAAATCATCACTATTTTATAAAGTGTTGGTTAATGATACCTGCCATTCATAGCTCTCTCTAATCTCAGCACTCAGTATTATCTTGTAGATTTCTGGGCATGTGCTTGAAACTATAATTGCAAAAAATGACTAAAGAAGAGAATATGAATAAATCCAATATATAATTCTCAACTTTATCACTTTTCCTTTGGAGAACATCAGTAAAAGCATTCTTCGTTGACCCTTCCGTGACATCTTCCGGTGTCTAATACGGATCTATAATCTCCCAAAGTAGATTGCAAGTATACTGAAGGCATGTATTTCAAATTAGAACACCTCAAACATAGCTCTAAGTCAATCCTTCCTGTGATAAAGTGGTATAAATTGTTTCAGTCCCTTCTTCCCTTCTTATTTGCTTTGAAATCTTGTTCTGCTGCCTGGGCTAATCTCCTGGGCTCAAGCGATCTTCCTGCCCAAGAGTCTGGAATGGCTAGGACTAAGTCACACTGGAGTGGCCAGGACTAAGTCACACTTCGCAGTTTATTATTAAGATGTGGACCAGGCATGGTGGTATAAATGAATAGCCTCAGCTGCTCAAGCAGGAGGATTGCTGTCCAGGAATTTGAGGTTACTCTGGGAGACATAACACAATTTATCTCAGGACTGAAGCAGAACAACAACAACAACAAAAACAATCACAACCCAGATGATCCAGAAATGTAAGCACACTGTGCCTTAATGAATAGACTCCTTTACTGAAATATACATAAATCGAGTAGATGTTCGTCTGCCAGGTAATGGTGTAGTGAAATAAATAGTCAGGGAGAGAAGAACCTTTTGAGAAAAATTACTTGATATATAAGTATATTTCTTCCTCCAGATATTTACATAGTAGTTTCTGCCACCACCACTGTGCCTTCCCTCCCATGACATCTTCCAGTGTCTAATATGGGAGTCACATGGGTCTCCTGTATCAGTGCTCTGGAGGGTGCTCTCACAGTAGGTTGAAGGTATACTAATAACATAGCTAGCTAGACAGAGATAGAGGACCTCCCACTGCATTCGTTTTCCAGAAAATGACATAATTTCATTCTTATTTTTGGTGAAATAAAACTCTTCTATGTGTATATGCCACATATTTTTTTAAAAAATAATTCAGTTATTAGCAGATACTCAAGTGAATTCTATAGCCTGTCTGTTGTGACTAGGGCTTCAGCGAGCATAGCTGGACGGATGCCCTGTGCTGTGTTGCCTTAAAATCCCTTGGCTGTTTGTGCTGGCTAGTCTAACGTCAACTTGACACAAGCTAAAGTCATTGGAGGGGATGGAGTTGAGAAAACGCCCCCATCAGATCAGGATGTAGGCATGCCTGCAGGGAATTTTCTTAATTAGTGATCGATAGGGAATGGCTCATCCCATTATGGGTGACACCACTCCTGGGCGGGTGCTCTTGGGTTCTAAAAGAAAGCAGGCTGAACAGACCCTAAGAAGCAAGCCAGCACCCCTCCATTGGCTCTGCATCATCCCCTACCTCCAGGTTCCTGCCCTGTTTGAATTCCTGTTCTGCCTTCCTTCCATGATGGACTATAATGTGGAAGTGTGAGCCAAATAAACCCTTTCTTCCCCGCTTACTTTCGGTCATGGTGTTTCAACGTAACAACAGTAACCTGAATGGAGAGCTATCCAAAAGTGGTGCAGCTGGGACATAGTAGCTCTAGCTTTAGTTTTTTGAGGAATCTTCATACTAACTCTGCAGGGGCTGAGCCAACTTGCATTTCCATAAGCAGTGTGTAAAAGGGTTTCCTTTTGTCTACATCCTCGCCAGTATCCTTGTCTTTTAGATAAGCATTCTGGGTGGGATGAGATAAAATTTCTATGTGTCTTTAATTTGCATTTCCCCGGTGGTTAAGATGTTGGAAAGTTCTCTGTGTGTTAATTGGCCATGTGTACTACTTCTTCTGGTAACTACATGTGTTCTCCATGTGTTAACTGGCCATGTGTACTACATCTTCTGGTAGCTGTCTGTGTGTTTCCATAGCTCATTCGTTGCCTGGTTTATTTTTAAAATTTCATTGCATATACCCATTGTCACGGCAGGTCATACATGAGGGCATCTTCATGCAAGTATATATTGTACATTGGGTGCGTTTCCTCCATACTTCTGTATTCTTTTCTTTCCCATTATCCTCCCTAGATAGTTTTGCTTCTATTTTCATGTCACACACATACATGATTTATTAGGCAAAATGGAGAAAAACATTTAAATAAGAATAAATATTTTTGACTTGGTCACTTAATATGTTTATATTCCCTGCATCCATTTTCCTGCAAATGATACAACTTCCTTCTTCGTTATGACTGAAGAAGTCCATTGTGTCTGTATAGCAAAGCTCCACATCCTGGCTACCGGGAGTAGTGCTGCAGAAGAGATGTGTGCAGGGGTCTCCATGATGTGTTCACTTGGGGTCCTCTGAATAAAGATCTACTATTAGTTTTTTTAAAAGATTTAAAAAATTTTTATTTTATCTATAAAGTATGTGTCTGATTGGGCTGGAGAGATGGTTCAGAGGTTAAGAGCACTGCCTGCTTTTCCAGAGGTCCTGAGTTCAATTCCCAGCAACCACATGGTGGCTCACAACTGTCCATAATGAGATCTGGTGCCCTCTTCTGGTGTGCACACTGTATACATAATAAATAAATAAATCTTAAAGAAAAAGTATGTGTCTGATTCCCTGAGTGTGTACCATGTGCATGCACTGCCCATGGAGGCCAGAAAAGGGCTTTGGATCTCCTGGAGTTGGTGTTACAGATGGTTGTGAGACACCCTAGGTGGGTGACTGAGCCGTCTCTAAAGCCTCTTGTTTGTTTTCTTAATGTCTGCCATTCTAACTTAGGTAACAGGAATTCTTTCTTTTTTTTTTTTAAAAAAATATATATAATCTATTTTTATTTTACGTGTATTGGTGTTTTGAATGCATGTATCTCTGTATGAGGGTGTCAGATCCCCTGGAATAGGAGTTATAGACAGTTGTGAGCTGCTATGAGGACGCTGGGAATCGAACCCAGGTCCTCTGGAAGATCAGCAGTGCTCTTAACTGCTGAGCCATCTCTCCAGCCCTGAGGAACTCTCAATGTAATTTTAATTTGTATTTCTCTGATAGCTAGTGAGGTTGAACATTTTTCATATATTTATTGAATGTTTTATTTAATCCTTTGAGACTGTTCATCTCATTACCCCTTTTACTGACTGAGTTGACTAATTTCTTGTTGAGTTTTGAAAGTTCTTTGTATGTTCTAGATATTCATTTTCTGTCAGATATAGAGCTGGATATATATTCTCCAATTCTCTGGGCTGACTCCTCAATTGATTAACTGTTTCCTTTGCTATGCATAAGGTTTTTAGTTTTATGATGTCTCATTTGTCGATTTCTGGCATTATTTCCTGAGTTACTGGAGTCCTATTTAGAAAATTCTTGCCTGTGTCCATATCTTACAGTGTTTTTCCCTATCTTTTTTCCCCTCCAAAATTCTCAAGAGTTTCAGGTCTTGGTTCATTTGGAGTTGATTTTTGTGTAGGGTGAGAGGTGGGATCTAGTTTCATTCTTCATGTGGGCATCAGTTTTCCCAGCAACACTCGTTTCATTCTGTAGCCCAGGCTAACCTAGAACTGCTTGTGTCATCCAGGCTGGCCTCAGACTTGTAGCAATCACCCTGCATTAGTCTCCCGAGGACTGACGTGACGAGCATGAACCATGAGTCTGACTGTGAAAGAGTTTCAGTTATGCAACGGAAAACAAAGTATTTGAAACCATTATTGCTAGAACACAAGTTCTTCAAAGGCGTATTTCTCTGCACCTGTGTTTTCTTTGCTTTATATCTAGTACTTTGGAATGTGCTCAGCACACCTATTTGTTGAAAGAATGGCTAAGTTATATAATATAAAACACACTTGGGCTTTAGTTTATAGACTAAACTACATCCACTCAAAACTATTTCAGTGTTTACTGTGCCTTAAGCAGAAGGACGAATCATATAGAAACAATTCATGCTACATTAGAAAATATACCCAGTTTAAAAACATGCTAAGTAAAAACATTATATTAGCATGTTTAATTGACTATAAGAATACAACTGGAGAGTGCTGGAAGCTGGATATTACCGGTTCTTTGCCCAGGCATCCCTTGAAAAACTGAGGATCGGAAATTGGATCAGAGAGATATGATTGGAGGAGATTTAGCCGAAGACCCGTGGGAGGTTCATTGGTCATTTTTACTCCGTTTTGTAGAATTGTTACTGGGAACTAAGACAAAACAAATGAAGTATTATGAAAGATGACCGTCTTGAGCCCTAAAATTGCAAACATCACTGGATTAAAAATGAGTAGAGAAGCAGATATTTCAAAATCTCTGAGAGTTTTAAAACTTAATCAGAATATTTCAAAATCTCTAATAGTTTAAAACCTAATTAAGAAGTACAGCACAACAGCTAAGTAAGCGCACTGGACTCTATCATAGGAAACTTACCTTTGGGGACGGATAGCTTGTGAGCCAAAGCCTAAAACTCGAATTGCAGATTTCAGTTGAAAAATCTTCACATATTTTTTCCAGTGTGGGCATCCAGGAAACAGCAAGGTGACAGTTTTGTAGACAAACCCAAGTTCCTTCTTCTATTGCAGCTGTAATCATTTTTGCTGCAACCGGTCCTTGTCCTTGCCCCAGTGAAATAGCTTGGAACTTATTTCCAGACATAGATTTATCATTTGCAAACTTCAGCAGACCTACGTAGGCAGAAATAAATGACACCATTTCTGCCCTATTCTAGTTTACAGTTTCTGTGCATATGTGTTTTATCATGGAAAAGCTTGGTTATCTTTCCCTAAGCACCAGATTTGTTAACAGATTTACAATCATATAACAAATGCATCTGAACAAAATGTTTTAAATTGTAAATTAAAAGCATACAATATATGCTGGACACACAGTGCATTTATATAAATATACATACATTTATATATATGTATTATATACATATACATTCAGGCAAAATATACGCTGACAATAAATTGTGTGTGTGTTGCAGTACATATACTTACTGGCCATAGGATCTGCTCCTGGAGACAGCACAAAAATCAAGGGAATGGTGCAATTCGAATCCAAGTAACTCTTTGTCAAATCAAATGGTGGAGGTTCTACAAATTTTTTCCCTAGTTTGTCGGTTACATAATTTGTTATAGCTGGGGTTATCTGGGAATAGAGAAGATACAGTCTTTTGAGAAAGTTTTATTGCATACCACAGATTTACTGGAAAACAAACAAAAAACTAGAGCATTGCTGCGGTCTGCAGGGATCATGCAGTGAGATTGGCTGACCCACCAGAACGAATGTGTTCTGATGAAGGCAAACCCAGTTTGCAGGGCACTGGGCCCACCACCTTTTGCTTATCGACTGGTTCTCACAGTGGATCTTTGGTGAAGCCATAAGCACTCTCCCTTGCTGCAAGTTTCAGCAGAGTACGGACAAGTGGGCACAACTCTTTCCCATGTACTGGTGTACTGGGTCATTCCCCCAACCCCACTCTGTGACCTCCAGTGGGAAACTCAGTCACACAGTCAATAACCCTGGTTCCCACAGTCTAATCTCTGCTTCATTCCCTGAGATACATTAGAAGCTGGAGATGTGATAGCTCCGCGGTTAGGAGCAGGGGTGGGGTGTGACAGCTCGGTGGTTAGGAGCAGGGGTGGGGTGTGACAGCTTGGTGGTTGAGAGCACTTCTTGTTTGGTAGAGGACCTGGGCTTGGTCCCCAGGACCCACATGGCGGCTCACAGTTGTTTGCAACACCAGTCCAAGCGATCCAATTCCCTCTTCTGACCTCCATGGGCACTTGGCATCACATGGTATACATACTTACAAACATACATGCAGACAAAACATTCACACTCATAGAATAAATAACTCTTGAAAGGAAGGAAGCAAACATAACCAAATATATTAGGCTGCCTTGCCATTTGTCTTTGGGCTGTTGAGAGTGAAATTAGTTACTTAGCAGCTGTACTTTTTTGTGTCTTTATTATAGTGTGTTATTTTATATTCTTATAACCATTATAAGAAACATATAAATTATAACCATACTTAGAGCTAATATATTGCCTCTCATGCTGCTATATAAATAAACAAAGATGTCTTTTTAAGGCCATGAAAGCCAAATATTTGTTCAAATAGTCTACACTTTGTTGCTGAGACTAATATTTGGATAAGTAAAGCTGATTTCCCTCTATAAAGCAATGTGGGTCGGTCTCATCCAATCAGCCGACCAAGTTACAGGACAAAACTGCAGAGGGAAGATGTCTTCTCAGACTGCCTTTGGATCTGAGCAGCAATCTCACTGTTTCTCTGGGTCTCAGGTCTGTCTCCCAGGCTCCCTGCAGACTTAACAGCTTCACCATCTCATGACCCACTTCCTTAAACTCAATCAGACTGGAAAGCCCCACATGGCACGCTTTAATTCAGTTTAGTTCAACCCACTTTGTAGAAATTGACTGACCTTATAATATCCACCCGTGCAGTGCTTTGAGTCCTGAAGATACACAGCAAAACAAGATACGGATTTCCAACATCAAGAGTTCCCTCGTCTATCCAGGAGACCCTAACAAATCAGCAAGCACTGTGTGTTCTAGGGGTGAGCTCAGTGGTGTGCACAGTAAGTTCAGCCTTCAGAGCATGGATGGCAAAACAGTGCCCCACAAGGGGCGGGACTAACTCCATTGCCATCAAGAGCCAATCGCGAGGCACAGGTGGGTGTTCCCAGGTGCAAAGCAAAGCAAGGTCAGTTCAGCAGAGGTTCTCATTCTTCACGAGGAAACTACCCTTAGTTTCCTATAGTTTTCTTAGCTTCATAAACGTATACAACTTTGAAACTCTTTGACACTTAGCTTACATAGACACGCACAGTATTCAGATACACTTCCCTTTCTGCCCAACTCTACGTGATTTCTTTCTACATTTAAATTTTTATTATTTTTATTGAGGATTTTTGAAGCTAGGTCTCACTCCGTAGCCCAGGCTAGCCTGAAGCTCCTAGCAATCCCCTTACCACATTTTCTATAAGCAAGACCCAGAGAAATGGAGGAATTTCCCCCCTTCTTCACACTCTGGCTAAAATCATAAGTAAATTCATTTCCTTTAGCTTATTGTTGTTTCTAGGTTTTCACTACCAGTCAAGGAGCAAATCTCGGATTCTGGTTACACAGTGTTCGCTGGTTAAGAGGCTGCCATGGACTACGGTGTCATCATGCATCACAAGGCTGTTGTCCTTAAGACTGGCATGCCGCAAACTGCAGTTTATCTGAATCTCAGACTTGTCTTTTACCTTATCAGGCCTTAAACACCGAAGAATTATTATTTTCTGCAATTCATTCAGCGTCTTGTCCATTGGTTCTGGAAATTTCACATTGTGCGGCTCTTTGCTGTCATAGATCTCCCGCCACTCCTCTGTGTTCTCACAGAAATGCTCCCTAGTGGAAAAACCATTGTTTTACTGAGAAATATTTTAAGAGATAATCGAGCAAGGGAAGAAATAAGACAGTAAGGGGACCATGTTAAAATCACTAGACTACAGGAGTTACTCTTTTGTTATTGTTTGGTTTTTTCATGACAGGGTTTATCTGTGTAGCCCTGGCTGTCCTGGAACTCACTCTGTAGACCAGGCTGGCCTTGAATCTCTGCCTGCCTCTGCCTTCCGAATGCTGGGATTCAGGAGTTGTTCTTGAGGGGAGGCAGGGAATGCATTCTTTGTAGGAACAGGTAAATAAATACTTCCGGCAGAGGAGGAGAAGATGTGAGAGAAGAAGCCAGAACCCCTGATTCAGGTGGTGCAGTTCTAGGGAGAGTTATGACATGATTCTCCTACACCTGCAGGGCTCTGGCTTCAGCGACCTCACCCAGCTGGGAGCTCCTCTCTGACAGATGTAGCATAGCGTCATCTCAGTCCTGAAAAGAAAGGCCACTTTTCCTTGCTCCCTGGACATAGAAATTGTAACAGCTTCACAAAGGAGAGCATCATGTAAAGAGAAATGGAGAGTGATGCGAAGAAAAATAAAAAGAGCCGGAAGTGGGGTTTTCCAGTGTCATCAAATGACTGCAAAAAAAGAAATGTCATCATGGTCTGAAACATTTGCGCTGATGCCCTCCACCCACTTTGGGCCTGGATGCTTTTGTGCCCACTTGGGGTCGGGAGAAAGTAGCTGAGACCGTGCCCGTGGCTCAGTGCTCCCTGCCTGGGTAGGCGGGATGGAGTCTGCTAGGGGTGCACAGGCAGGAGAGAGTGGTGGATTCCTGCCGCCATACACAGAGATACTTCCAGGCTGTGCAGTGTCCTGCACGGCAGATTTAGTTATTACTCAGATAAAAAGGGTTTATGTGCTGCACACTCCTTCTCAGAATTAAAGTGCTGAGTGTGGCTCCTACCTGGTGGTCCCAAGAGCTGGCGTTAATGGTACCTCCGCCAAAGGTGGAGAGTGGCAGAGCCAGCATCCAGAGCCGCTGCAATCAAGCTGCTTACCATTTTAAAAGTGCTCCTGGTCAGAAAATAATTACAGATACGCAATAAAGACAGATTTGGATAAAAAAGACCTCTAAATGGCTCAAAGTGTTGGATAAATGTATGTAGTCTTGGGAGAGAGAAGAAAAAGAATATAGACAGTTATAAAAGGAAGTAAATGCCTATAAAAAGTCTTTAAAGAGTCAGAGCACAGACAGTCATAGATAAAAGGAGTAAAGAAAAATAAGCCACGTAAAGATGGAATATACACAGAGAGTCTGGATTATGTATATTATTGTGTTGAATTTTTTGACTGTGAAAGAGCTAAGTACAGAGAGACATTTTATTGTACAATTTTGTTTTATATATATATATTTCTGCTCTTAATTAATGTATTGTGTTTGTGCAGCTCATTTAAAAATGTAATGTATAATTAAGAAATATAGGTTAATAGAGATAATCATCTATAATAGTCAAGCTTGTAGTCATGTTAGGTTTTCTAGATATATAGAGATATATTTTAGTTAGATAGATAATCTTTAAACCTTTCAAAGACCTATAGAATATGGCATTTAAAATGGTTTAAGAACTTAGGACTTTTCATAACAGTGAGACACATCTGCTCCTGGCAGCACCAATCTACTTCAAGAGAATGATGGGCATCAAAGAGGCTCCTCAAGGAGTTTGTTAGCAATTTGAACAAGCCTGGACTGCTTGATGTTATGCTGTATGAACTGGACATGCAGGACCCACAGAAAAATGACTGCTGAACTTGCCTAATAGTGAGACAGTCCTTCAGGTTTCCTGCTTCATGAAAGAGTCTGCCAGACATTCTGCGGGGCACAGAAGAAAGTGACTGACAAACTGCCAATATAGGTGGAACTGTCTTTCAAATTTCCTTCTTCATGGAAAAGTAGGCTGGATACTATGGGTCTGTAGGCTGAAAATGGATGGCACAATGTTACAGAAGAACTTTGGGTGACTGACCAGGCAGCGAGATGTCTCTTTCAATTCTAGAGTTTTGGAAGTTGCTTACAATGTATTTCTTGTTTACTTTTATAGTATATATACTATAGAAGTATATATATATATAATTATATATTAAGTATTATATATTATGTATAGGTAATATTATATCCTTCTGGAGTCTTTGATGGAGTTGAAGAATAGATAGTTATAGTTTTTCTTTGGTATGATAAAAGTTAGATATAAATATTGTATAATTATAATTCTTGCTTGATAACTGTTTTGTTCTATGTAGTTAAAGTTGAAATCTTTTTTTTAGACAGAAAAGGGGAGTCCCATCTGTATGCTATGTATTGCCGTTGGTTAATAAAGAAGCTGCTTTTAGCCAATGGCTTAACAGAATATAGCCAGGCTGGAAAAGATATAGAGTAGGCGGAGTCAGAGAGATGCCATGTAGCCGCCCAAAGGAGACAGATGCCAGGAATTTACTGGTAAACCACGAGCCTCGTGGTAAAATATAAAATAATAAAAATAGGTTAATTTAAGGTATAAGAGCTAGCTAGCAATATGCTTAAGGTATTGGCCAACCAGTGTTTTAAATAACATAGTATCTGTATAATTATTTCAGGTCTGGACAGTTGGGAATGAACAAGCAGACTCCAGCATCAGGGGGAGAAGGGAGGGTGGAAGGGGAAAAGGAGGGGAGAACTCCAGGGAAAGGGATGGATAGTCGAGATGGAGGAAGGATAGAGATGAGAGCAAGGAAAGAGATATTTTGACTGAGCCATTATGGGGCTGGCAAGAAACCTGGCACTGGAGAGATTCCCAGGAATCTACAAGGATGACCCCAGATAAAACCCTAAGTAATGAAAGAGAGGGTGCCCGAACTGGCCTTGTCTTGTAGTCAGATTGATGACTATCTTAAATATCACCATAGAGCCTTCATCAGCAAGTGATGGAAACAGAGGCAGAGACCTGCAGCTGAGCACTGGGATGAGCTCCCAAAGTTCAGTTGAAGAGTGGGAGGAGTGAGACTATGAGCAAGGAAGTGAAAACCATGATGGGGACACCAACTGAAATAGCTTACCTGAGCTGATGGGAGCTTACTGACTCCAGCTGGACAGGGAAGGAACCAGCATACATCTAAACTGGGACCTCTCTATGTGGGTGATGGTTGTTTGGCATACTGCGGGGCCACTGGCAGTGGTGCCAGGATTTATCCCTACTGATTAGCCTGACTTTTTGGAACCTATTCTCTTAGGATGGATATCTTGCTCAGCCTGGAGGTAGTGGTGAGGGCCTTGAACTTTCCCCAGGGCAATGTGGATGGGAGTGGATGGGGTGGAGTGAAGAGGTAGGTGGAGGGGGTGGGAGGAGGGAAGGGAGTGGGAGCTGGGATTAGTGTGTAAAGTGGGAAAAAAAGAAAAGAAAAAATATATAAAGATTTCTTTGGGTCCCTTTGCAGGACTGGAGCAATGATCAAGAAGATACACCCTTGCCAGTGATGAGAACAGGAGACAGAGATTGGTCAGGTAGTTCAGGACAGAGACCTTGGTTCCTGTACTTTGCCAGCAGCTGGAAATATCTGTGGTTCTGTTCAAGCTAGAGGCTAGAAATGTCAGAGAAAGCAGGGCGGGCTTGATTCCTACTTTTTTTTTTTTTTTTTTTTTTTTTTTTTTTTTACCTTGTTTCTCTCCTAGATGGACACTCTTGCCTGGAAACCATTTGTGAGGGTACCACTGAAACCGAGAGGCATCTTGGGTGAATGACTGGACTGTCCTTCTCTCCTCTCCACGTCTCATCCCAGTTTCTGCATAAGCCTGACAAAACCCTCCTAGGCTGGACACTCAATAGCAACTTGATCCCTGGAATGTATCTGTTCCTGCTGTCCAGGAGCTCTGCCTTCCTTATAGTAAGTTTTATATTAGGATCTATTCTAACATGTCTAAAGCTCACTCTTCTGGGGTTCGGGAATTTTGTTTTCCAAGTTTACAAGACAAGAACCTGGAGCCATGGACTCAGTGGAAGTTGTGTGTGTTTGTGAATGTATACACCCTAACTCCTGGGTGAAAGCCCACCTGAGGCCAGGATCCTCTGTCACACTCGGAGACCCCTCTTTTGATCTTTTCTCCGTGTCATTAGGGTAATTAATTACACACATTTCCTGCTCTAAGCCTTCCTCTGTAGAACTAAACCTCACGCCAGTACACTAAATATGGGCTTGAAGGGATGATTCGACCCCTGTGTTTCTCTTCCCAGCGTGGCCACTGTTACTTGTTTCTTTCATTGGTCTATCGGGACAGATGACAGAGCTGCAGGAGACCTTGCTTCTGTTCTATGTGAAGTGGTACATTATGTGAAGAGCCTGTCTTTCTACTAACCAATAAACTAGAAAGAATCATGGAAAAAATTTAAATTACAAATTTAGTATTACCATTCAGCGTTAAGTAATCAAATGTACACAATTACCTGAGTCCTTGGAAGACGGCAAGTTCACTTGCTCTACAAATCTCCTCCCAGCTTTTATCCTGTAGCCATTCTGGAGCGGGATTTTTTTCGGCACTCTTAAGACTCACTCCTCCAGTTAAAAGAAACATCAGTTCCTGGTATTCAATCTCTTTCTTGGCCCTGTGTTCCCAAACAATTGTAAACTGTTGTGAATGGTTGATCTTAAAATGGAATTATAGCAGCTTCTGTGTCCAAGCCTGGATGGAGTAGCTCAGGCTGTACTTAGCCTCACAACTAATGAGACAACAGCTGTTGTGGGAACTCAATACACCGCGCAGAATGTAGCCACTAAGAGACAGAGAATGTGGCTTATGGTTGCCCCGCTGTCTTCCCAGTGACATTCCCCAGATGCAGAGCAGAGGTGGTAAAAACTAAAGCCTGGCAGTGTTGTTCAGACAGGAGGCAGAGTTGAGGAGGGCTTCTCAGTGGACCTGTCATGCACTGCTGCTTAAGGACCTCTGCTCAGGTAAAGCTGAATCTTTACCTATGCTACAGAAAAGAATGTCAGCGTGGAGCAAAGTTAACACACTTCCAAAGCAGAGATAAGGAAGAATAAAAGGCACAGAAAACTAAGGGGACTGGGCAGGGGAAGGGAGTGTGCTGGCAGCCTGTCAGAAAAGAGTCTGGGAATCTCATACAAGTCTGCTTAGTCTTCGAGTATAGTAGAAACATCTTAACTTCCTCTGTGACCCTTGTGACCTAGGATTTTACTGTATCAGTTGTAATCCCACCTAAGGCACACTAGGAACTATGTTCTCATTTACTGAAAACAGAGACACTAGGAACTAGGTTCTCATTTACTGAAAACAAAGCCCTCTGAGATGTAACTTCAGAATGCAACAAAACCAGTATATCTGGCTACTGTAAAGATACAGAATTGCAACTCTCTTGGAAAGCCCAAAGCCCCAGCCATGAATGCCTTATTGCTTTCCTTAGTGTCCCACTTTCTATTAACTCCTGTGTTTAAAACCTATGTTCAAGGCATCTTCTAGCAAACTCAACTCTGCTTCTCTGATGTTCAAGGCATCTTCTAGCAAACTCAGCTCTGATGCTGGCCCATCCTGAAACTGTTTCCTGCAGTGAAGCCAAGGATCAACGACAGCTTTGCCTCACTGAGGTCCTTGACTACTCAGTCTGCTGGTGCCAGGAGGGGGGATGGCTCTGCCCCACCACTGCTGACAGAAATAAGAGATTGTACGCACTTTAATTCAGGTGGCAGGGGGAGAGAGAGAACATGTTTGCTTAACGGAAAATAATAGCACACACCTCCTGTACACGGCACATTTCTAGAGAGACGGGTGTTTAGGTATCTCGAGCAGATACAATAGTTCTGTGTTTTGAACGGATACTGTTAAAAGCATATAATTTATGACAAGGATTAAAGATTAAGCAATATATAATTGAAGTACAAAAATATAAGCTAACTTGTTTTATTTTTTAACTCTCTCTCTCTCTCTGGGAGTATATGTGAGTGTGTGTGTGTGAGTGTGTGTGTGTGAGTGTGTGTGTGTGTACTCACTGCATTCATATATGTGAGTATAGGCACATTTGCTATAACTCATGTGTCTGAGAATGACCTGGGGTGTTGCTCTTTGCTGTCCAACCTGTTTGAGATAGGGTCTGTTTGCTGCTTTTTATGCCAGGCTAACTGGCCCCGTGAGCTTCGTGGGTGTCCTCCTGTCTCCACCTCCACCCCACCCGAGAGCTTTGGGGTTACGGATGCTGCCGTGTCACCTCTCCGTGGTTACCAGAAATTCAGATTTAGGTCCCCACACTGGCACAGCGACCCACCTCCCGAGTCATATTCATTTTTCTTATGTTAAATCAATTTCTTCTGTAAATGAAATTTTGAGGTGGTTTTGTGAATTCACTGTGCTCAAAGGGCACACACATCCTGATCTCAAGTAAACATAATTTTTTTCTTTCCATCCTTGTTTGAGATGGCTTTAGGAAAATGAACAATATATAAGGCAGACCTATAGAATAACACCTGGCTTTAATGAGTGGATAGCTAAATAGATAAAAGGTAAAGTTTGGCATCTATTTAGATTGAACCCACAGATCTGTTACGTCTGGCTTAGATCTAAATGTAAAAGGAAAATAATGAAGTTTAAAGATAATTATGAATATCTTTATATCAGTGGACTGAGGGCAAAGTGTTTTCACTAAGCACAGGCCACAAACCAGACAATATTAAAATTAAGAATTTGTGTTAATTAAGAGAATGAAAAGGCATTCTAGACAGTGACTGACAGTCACACATTGTTGGTGGGTTTGGATCTACATTATATAAAGAACTCATAAGAGTCAGTTAGAAAACAACAAAAATCCAACAGGAAAAGTGGAAAGTGATAGATTTCTAAAGTCCCTATGTGTGTGTGTGTACGTGCGCGCACACACACACACAAAGCTTGACATCATTAATCATTGATGTGGGAGCGTCATATATCAATCTGTTGATTTCATTGGTTAAGTTATAATAAACCAACTGCTTGGCCTCAGCTTAGAACATAGATGGGAGGAGTAAACAGAATAGAATTCTGGGCGGAAGAGGAAGTGAGGTCAGACTCTGCTCTGCTCCCGGAGAGACCCGACAGCTCTGCTGGAGCAGAGAC